TGTGTGTGTGTGTGTGTGTGTGTGTGTGTGTGTGTGTGTGTGTGTGTGTTAGTGTTGCAATAGAACAATCATTTAGAAATCGTAATAATTACATAGAATTAAATCAATGCATCGTATATTCGCATTATTATTTATTTTATTTAATGATGTTTTAAATTTGCAAAAGCAGCAAGCAAAAAATGTAAGCGGTCATATTTTTAATGATTGATCCTCTTTCCCTCAGACATAAAATAAATTAAATTGATCGATATTTTAATCTGTTTTGAGAAAAAAATTATGATTTGTATAAATTAACTTTAATAGTTTTATGTTGGGCTTCAAAACTAAGACAAATGAGCTTTAAAAATAAAATTTAGATACTTGCTTTTAAAACTAAGTAAATGTTGATTATATTTGTATACTAATATTGTATTAATTATAATATAATGTGACCTGAACACATGTTGGAAAACGCAAGCAAATTGGTTTCTGGCCACAATGCTTTTTCATATACTAACCTAACCTACTGAATAGAGGGCGCAATCAAGCAACCAAGATTTATTAGGAGATCGATATCAAAAGATGTACTCGTTATAAATGTCATCAATCGTTAAAAGAAAAAACCAATGATACAAAAAGAGGATAAAATATTATTTTTGAATACCAAATATCAATTTACTATGCTTAAACATAATAATAGTGTTACTTTCAAAGCAGTTCATTATAATTTACCCGTATATCAACTAATATAGATGGAACAATTAATACAAAAATAAAAAAAATATCGTTTATTTAAAAAAGTGCACATTTACAGTAATCAATGATTTCTTTTAGAATCAAATAATATTATCCCTATTGTGCTCTCCTAATCATAAACAAGGCATTTCGTAACTTTCGTTTAAGTAAGATATTGGCATGACTAAAGTTTTTTTTTAATGTCAATTATGCTGATTTTGCTTAACAATAAAACGCAAATAAAATGAGATATTTAAAAAACCGCCTAAGGGGGTTTGTAAATCTCGTTTCTCTGATTCCAGGTATTATGTTAATAACTTAATTTTGCTAAAAATTTCGATTACGTTGTTTATAATAAGGACGGCAGATGTATACTCTGAGGCTGCCTTTTGTCTTACATTAGAGAATTTTGCTAGAATCAGGTTTGGCTTGATCGAACCAGAAAATAAAAAGGAAATAGAAAGACCATAACAAAAGAGCGAGAGATATAAAAGACTGATGATAGTCGATAAAACAGAAGGGATATTACCAGAATTCGTAGCAAATTGAGGTTCAACGTGTCGGCCTTCCCCATTAGAAAAATAAACGTGATGATACATAGTGTGTCTAGTTCCAGACAGTGTGTGTATCCTACATTAATATAATAACCACAACTTGGACAATTCACAAAAATCAACACAGAAATTTGAGGAAAACAATTCAAGTTGTTATTTTTGATAATCTTAGGTGCACCTTAATATTAGTTTTTTTTTGTCAAATATTTAAGGTACACTTTTTGGCATTTACAAAACTCCGACGCTACGGCGCGAAGACTTTTTTTTGCAGTAATAATTATCATTGAGTCATCTTATTGATTGTTAGCTAAGAAATCGTTTTTAATCATCACTTACGAGCAAAATGGGAAAGCCCGATCATTTCATTCGTCACTGCAACAGTATAATGATTTAGACAAGTCTTAATTGAACAAATTGTACCATTTTACAAAAATAAATGTTTTCTACTACTATTCTCGTCTCCTTATGCAATACAACATAATCTATTTATAAAATAATCTTTATTGCACACAATAATAAAATACAAACAGCTACATTTACCTATTTGTCTTTTATTATTGTGTGCAATAAAGGTTGCAACAGGTAGCCTTATGGTTACGTAGCAACCTCTACCTGGCAACCTTTTTTGATACTTGCACTTTTCGCAGTTCTTATCTCAGTCACATATAAGCTAATACAGTTTACACCACGAGCTTTTTGTTTGCTTTGGCGTCTCTTGTGACATACTTTTGTTCATCATATTCATGTGTCACGATTACTTAAGTCCCAAATGTTAGGTAATTTTTTTAACGCCCTTGACGCTGTAGTGACTTTCTATACAATGAAAATAATGTGGTGTTTAAAATCTCAATTTCACTTTCAGATTACGCAACCTGGTCGACAGATGTAAAAACGTATAATTTGAAAAACAAGCGAAGTACACATTCGAGTAATTTACAACTTTGTATAAAAAAAGATCTCAAAAGTTTAATTATCCCCTTTCGCTGTATTCATTACCGCGGTCTCCTCAAAGATAACTGAACGCATATGGGAGTCCCCACCAAAACAAATCATAAGAGCCCAAACACAAAGTGGCTGCTGCATTCCGTTGAGGAGTTTCTCCCATCTGTCTGCCAATTCCATCAACAGACTAGCTCTAGGTTACCATAACATTTCATTTTCATTGGAATTACATCTATATTTGCCAAATTTTATTTGAATGTGGGTAAAAGTCAATAAATCGGATTCATTTCCTAATTTGCCCTTGGAGATGGAATATTTTCTTCAAATTTGGGTGGCTGTACTACTGAGGAACCCCTTTCCAACAAAAAAAGAATAATTGAAATTAATTCAAAAATTCACAAATCGTCGCCTTACTCGAATCTTAAAGCACAAAATTACTGAAATGCAAAAAATGGATTGTATATACAAATTTTGCAAGCTGATTTCACATCACATTTTATTCATATTCACACACTGGCTTTTACCTATTCTTCAAGTAATGCACCCGTATAAATTAACACCCTTCATAAGAAATTTAAAATAAATAGAAAGTTTTGACATCTCCTGAATAATCACTCTTTATAAGGTACGAGTTTGAGAAAGTAAGGCATCGCAATGTCGTATGTCAGAGTAATCGCGTAACACAAACACCCAAAAAATACAATTTAATTGAGAAACTGCTCCTTTTTAAACTCGGTTGAAAATTATTATCTTAACTTTTTGCTTTTAAACGTAATCAAACTGACTGTGCTACATTACTATGTACGCAAGACCACATGAGTAGAGAAGCAATACGACAAGATCATGCTAAATATTATGTTATATTAATAGAAGGAGTGACTTCCATTATAATAATAATAACGCACATAATCAACATCGCCCATTTTGGTATAGTTTATTGATCAAAATAATTCTTGATGGCGTAAGTATTCGCATCATAGATATAGAAAAATAGTGGTACAAACCATATTGGCATACATGTATAAATACTTTATATTTTTAAGTAAACAGATGATTCCAAGCAAAGTACAGTTCCATTGTTGAATTAGCAGGTCCGATAAAACCAATGCTTATGACACAACTTTACTAATTTTGCAATTGGATAATTTTCAGGTATAATAATAAATAAATAATGGTTTTCTCTACCTAATTTCGGTGGCAATTTTTATTATTAAATATTCGAGTATTCTTTCGTGAAATTTTGAAAAACCAAGAAACCACACTCGAATAGTGAGTAATCCGTCATAATAATATTCTAGAATATTTAAATAATAATCAATGCCACCGAAATTAGGTAAACTAACCTGAAAATTACCCATTACTGGTATTCCACACAACCCGTTTGTTATCCTGCATGCATCTGCATGATCCAATTTAAAGAAACCGAAGTTGCAAGTGGTTTTCAACTATTAAATAGTAATTTATAATGTATATTAGTTTTACGACAACAATAACGCCCTTGTCGCATTTGTCATAGATAAATTTTTTCGTGAAGTATTCAAGACAATCAGTAAATGTACGTCAAAATTTAAGGAAAATTTTGCCATTTTGCGTAAAGTTCAAATCATTCGTAATTATCTAAACTTAAGAAACCGCAAAATTAGTTGTAATACTTATAATGAGGCTTATTTTGGTAATTTTAGTGGATTCTTGGAAATCTTGGCAAGGATTAGGCGAGCGATTCAACGTGTGGTTAAACAGGCACATGAAGAGCATATCAAGCTTGATACGTTGGACTTTGGTCCGTTCTTATACGTGAGGCGCACTATAAGTTTCCGAAATGAATAAGAAAAAAAATAAACAGAAATTAATTTATTGTTTCTCAAAATATTCTCCGTTAACGTTAATGCACTTTTTCATACGAATGAACCAATTTTGAAAACATTTATGCCACTCCACCGTGACAAACTCTGAAACATATTTTTCATACTCTTCGACAGCCCCTTCAGGTGATGAAAATCGTTGACCGCGTAAGTGGTTCTTAATTTTTGGAAATAAATAAAAGTCACAAGGTGCCAGGTCGGAACTGTACGCGGGATGGCTCATAAGGTCAACGTTCACGTTCAAAAATTCATTTGTCTGTCTGGCCGTGTGAGAACTGGGATTATCGTGGTGCAAGATGATACGGCGTTTACGGTTATTTTTACGGAGTTTGTCAATAACTTCTGGAAAACAAATGGTCGTGTACCAATCACTATTCAAAGTACAACGATTCTCCAAAGCAACAGTAGCCATGTATCCAGTTTAAAAAAAAGAAGCAATCATCCGCTTAGAGGCACTTTGCACGCGCGCCACTTTACTTGGTTTCGGCTCATCTCGAAAGACCCATACGCTCGATTGCTGCTTTGTTTTGGGATGGTAACTATAAATCCATGTTTCGCCACCTGTTACCATGTCCCACACCAAATTTGACGCTTGTTCGTTGAATCTGGTAAACATGGCATTGCACCAAGAGACGCGATCCGTTTTTTGAGCCTCAGTCAAATTGTGTAGGATCCACCGAGCGCACAGCTTTTTCACACCCAAATGTTTGTGTAGTATTGATTGTATTTGACACATGCCTGTGCCTAAATATGCCCGAATCTCATGGTATGTCAGATGTCTATCTGTTTTGATCATACGGCGCGTAGCATCGACGTTTTTGTTGTTCACATCAGTGAACGGGCGACCATCACGAAATTCGTCACTGAGAGTCACACGATCGTGTTTGAATTCTACAAACCAGCTATAGATAGTCGTCTTGCATGGTGCTTCATTGCCAAAAGCAGTTTGAAGCCGAGCGAAGCTCCGCTGAGCTGTTAAAATAACACTTAAAGTCGTAGAAAATCATACTACTAAAATTTTCAAGAGTTAAATCCATGGTGATGTAGACAACCAATTTATAAAATGACGCCACAATACAAAAACAAGTGACAGTCAGATGAAACAAACTGTATTCTACAGCCAGAGTTTCATTTTCAAATGTTATAATTACTTTTTAAATATTATTTATGAAAGTGGCTAGTTCCGTAAACTTATAGTGCGCCCACTAATAAACTACATACAGTTGAATTTAAATCTTAACTATCAAGCTCAACGGATACCGTACCTAGAAAATAAATAGTACATTAATCAATGCCAAGTCTACTCAGCAGTTCGTGCTTACTTTTCACCATTACAAACAGAAGACGCATTTTCTTTTTTTACCTAGTCTCAAACCAGGAATTACTTACCTACTATGAGTACCAGGGCAACGGTATCGGCATCCGGGGCACTTTCCAGAACGCCTACACCAGAACCAACTTTAATATTGGATTATTCTGTAACTTCAGGGTTGGGGACCCAGTGTTTTGTTTTTATCACATTTCTGATGTTGACACTTTTGCAATATCGACAATGATAAACTTAAAGTATTTCATCTTATTTAAGAGCCAGACTTTCGTCGGTGTAGCCTTTTCCACTCCTCACGGTTCATAGCTAGTTCTTTGATCTTCTTTTTTATTTATTCACTATACGCCATTCTTGTCTCTCTTTTCTCTTTTTTCTTGGTCTTCCTCTTTTAAAGATAAACTTAAAGTGTATGAAGTAAAATATTCATTCCTTTATTATTGTTGTTAATACCTACTTTATTGGATTTTTAAAAAGTATATAAATATTTATTTATATATTTTTTTCTGTGAAAGTGCTTCAATAGTTCGTAATAATTAATGCAAAGATCGAATAAACTCAAAGAAAAATCTTTCGATTCGGCTGGATTCAGGATTTACTTAACGCAGCCCGCGGAAGGCGAAAATGCGTAGCTAACTGACGATGAGTGGAGCAGAAGAATGCTTTAGTGGAGACCGAAGACCGGTACCAGAAGCGTCAGCCGTCAGAAAGCTAGATGAGCGGACGATATAAGCAAACAATGTAACTAGAAAAACTTGGACGGAAATAAATCGAGAACGGACATTTTAACGTGCAAGCGAGAAGAGCTCTGCGCTTAGTAGTGATTAAAGGTTGTAGAAGAAAAAGAAATGTAAATGTAATGTAAAAATGCATTAATTTTCAATGCGTTTGGTGACGTGGTGAATAATGATATTTCAATAAGTTAAATTAGGTATAATTAGTTATCTATTAAGATTATAGGAAATCATAAAAAAATTAAAAACTAAATCAAAAGGCTATAATCATCTTTTGGAAGAGTAATTGTGGTCTATTTTGCAATGATAATTAAAGACTTGTAACTTTAATCACAAATGATTTATTTTAACGCTATTATATGTCATAATAATATATGTATATGTAATAATAGTCGAGTTATCGAGTTTATCACTTAGGTTACAGAAATAGGTGCCCTATTTGTTGCACTATGTAGGCACCTACCTACAATGGCACAATAGAGTTTAGCGGATGTGGTGTAGAGTTAATAGCTGTTTATGTTTTACGGCATCTCACTTTGTATCCAATGTCGTATCTCGTAAGGATTTGTTATTAACTACACAAACCGAATGCACTAGGAATTCTCGGTTTGCTTACATTGCACTTAGGAAAAAAGTTATGCTGTTTTTTATAATACCAAGTGATGGGACGAACAAGACGAGCGCCTGGTGGTAAGCGACACGTCTATCCATAACAGTGCCACGCAGAGCTTTAAATCGCAAAGATCTTAGGAGCACTGCCACTGCGCCCATCACGCTGAAACATAAGTTGACAAGTCCCATGCGACTGTAATTTCACCAGCACCTTTACCCTTCAAGACCAGAACGCAGTAATCGTCACATTACTGCTTGACGGCAGAAATAGGTAAGGTGGCAGTACTTCCCTGGACGAACTCTTTCACAAGGAGCTCTACTGCTACTATTTACACGTTTATGTTATTTGTTAACATATTAATATCGCTTTTGTGTGTTGAAGAGTCTGTTTTCGTTGAAACTCAACCCATCGTCTTAATTACTTTAGTCTTCAGTTTCAACAACATTTTCTACGAATGTTGTCAATTTGTAATTCATGTAATTTAGTAATGTTTAGTAATTTAGTAATTTATTTATTTGTACATAAAAATAAATACAGTTCAGTTACCGATAACAGTGAATGAGAAGGTACAGAATTAAAAATATGTTTTGGTATACATTGATATGACTAACACCCCTAGAATGTTTACTCCGCGATTGTTTTTTGCAGTCGAACGCAGTTTATTCCTGAGATCTAACTGTAAGTGTTAACCATGCGTGTTGCAACATAGTGACTTGTTACAAAATTGCCTCTGCAGTCGGTGAGCTGCGCTTGCACACAGTACTTTATGAAGGACGATAACTAGGGTTCTAAATGCTAAAGTGTCTCATGTGCATTTAGTAATGTAACTATAAAGATCCCATTTATTATTTTCAGATATTCAGCATAATGACATCACAAGTGAACGAGTGGTACCGAGATCGGAAGGTCTTAGTGACCGGAGCGTCTGGTCTCATGGGGAAAGTTCTGATCGAGAAGCTTCTCTACAGCGTGCCAGACGTCGGCTGCGTCTACGCACTCGTGCGCTCCAAGCGCGGCAAATCACCGGAGTCACGCATCGAAGACATGTGGAAACTGCCTGTATGTACCTAGACAATATTACATTAACAACTGCATCGTTTCTATTGCAACAGTATCAATGCCGAGTTGCAGCATTAGAGCGTGAAATAAAAATGTATGGCAATTTTTAGCTGTTCTCAAGAATAAGGGAAGAGAAACCACACGTTATGAAGAAATTGGTTCCGGTCATTGGCGATATTTGCTACGATAACCTCGGCATTGATGAGAAGGTGCTCGAAAAACTTAATGAAGAGGTGAGCAAAACACAATTTTTAAAATTTTACTGTAATATTTATTAAATTAAATATCATAATGTTTTCACTATCTTGATATTCATATGTTTTTGGAAAAATACTCTACTAGTTCGTTATTATTATTGTTGCGAAAATCGAACAACCCAAAAAAAAATCTCTTCATATCTGAGTACGACACGAGAGTGAAGAAACTTTCATAAGTTTCTCACGGGTAGTGCTGACGGCAAACAGCTATTTAAACCTAATACTATAGATCTGCAACAAGTAACATAGAGAAGGGTTTATTAACCTTGTGTTAACATGAGCTCCTAAGGTGTCCGTGTAATAAACGCCGGGAGTCCACGGCGAGCCTACCTAACATAAAAATTGGTATAGAATATATTGTGAGTAAATAGGTACTGTGCGCGTGATCTTTTTGAATTTTTGCGCCCAGCAGACAGCCATCCATTATTGGAGTGATCGAGACGCGCGTCAATGCCACCCGCGAGCATTTCTTCTTCTTCATCTTTTCGGAAAGGGTCCGTAGGCTCTTTAAAATTTTGATATGCTGACGCCAATAATAACTCAATTGAAGATAAAGATAAATTTATTTTCATTATAACTTAATCATTGACTAATTTAAATTAATAATAAAAATAAACATAAGTAAATGAAGATATGATAATATTAAAATAAACAATAAAAAAGCAACCTTAATTATGCAATCACAGAAAAGCTACATTATAATCGTAGAAACGAATAGTATAGTTATGATGCCTAAATTAAGTAAATGAGTACCTGTATTTTAGGCATCTTCTTTGTGCTTATTTCCTGTGTAATAATAATAAGACATTTATTCATAAGCATATTTACAATAAAAAGATTAACAGTTAACAGTTAACAGTTTCAGAGATATGGATTCTAGTACTAATGAAAAGGATGGAACCTCAGCACTATGTGCTGCTTTTCAGGTTCCACCTTCATACATGGACATCCGCTGCTGATAATTATCAAACTTCACAAGAATAATATTTTAAATTTGTAGGATATAGTCAAAATTAATTTATTATTTCTATAAGCACAGTATACATATATTACAAGTAAAAAACATTAAATACCAAATACAAACGGCACAGGAACAGGTTTAAACTTCTTACATACTTGTAAACAACTTACATGACAAGTAAACTAAGAAGAAACTTAAAACAAAATAGAAGCTATTTGCTACGTTTTAAGGCAATTACGATACCAATTTAGTCTAGCCACATTGTGATTTCTGTACGTTACGTAGCCATTGCTTACATTTTCTTTTGAGAGTCTGCAATGACTGGTTAAGTTTGGGAGTGGAATGTCACAGACGAAGCAAACCGAAAGCTTTCCCTGAAGGCGCGTAACCGAGGAAACGAGTGAAATTGTAACTCTGGGTAGCGCGTTGACCGAGTCTGATCCTTCTCTCTGTGATTCCAGCACAATTTATTCGCCAAATATTGAGGTACCAAGTAATGTTCAATTATTTTTTTGTGAAATTACTCCACTAGTTTGTTATAATTATTAATACAAAGATCGAACACTCAGAAAAAATTCCTTCGATCCGGTCGGATTCGAACCGACGTCTTCTTGCATACCGTGCCAGACGCTATACCAACTAAGCCACGGAACGAACCAACGGACCTCACGAATTTTTCTGTGCTTGCGTCGTGTCTTTGTACTTGGTTTTTCAACGACTTTTTAGTCGTAGCGCCATCTATGAGAAATCTTTGACAGATTTATCACCCAGTTAGTACCTTTACAGCTACCAGTCCTGGCGAGAGATGTCGCTATTTACTGTATTAACTAAAACCAAGTACAAAGACACGACGCAAGCACATAGAAAAATTTTTGAGGTCCGTTGGCTTAGTTGGTATAGCGTCTGGCACGGTATGCAAGATGACGTCGGTTCGAATCCGACCGGATCGAAGGAATTTTTTCTGAGTGGTTTTTCTGAGTGTTCGATCTTTGTATTAATAATTATAACAAATCAATATGTTGTTTATTTCTAGTATGAATAAATAATGGTTCACAACCATTGACTTACAAATAAATGGACGACGGGTCTAATACAAAAACCACGAAAAAAATGTCCCAAGTCAACCTATTCGAAATTTAAATTGTAATGTCATCGCAGTATCGCGCTGTCAGTCGAACAAATGAAGACTAAAGCGGAGTTTCGCGCTCTGTATACGATTTTAGCGCCTTACAAGTGCGGACACTTTTTAGCGCGGACCCGACGTCCATATAATTGTAAGTCAATGTTCACAACACATCAATTTTATGGATTTTGTAAATGGCGGGTAATTTTCTGTCAACAGATGGCCAGCTAGTTTTTTTCTTATTTATTTATTTATAAAACATTGGCTTCAGAGCCATCAGCTTAATGGTAACAAACAATCAAGAAACGCACAACGTAATATATATAAATTAGAAATTAATTGGTGTAAAAAGTGTAACTACTAAAACCCGCTATTTCGAATATGTGGCCAGCTAGCTATTCTTCCCTAGATAATACAACTTGAATTAAAATGTTGATAAAGAGCAAAGATGCATACAGCCTTGATTCATTGTAAAAAAATTGCTAAATTTTATACAGTAAATACTTAAAATCAATTATAAGAAATTCTTAATAATAAGTATTTAAGTAGTACCTATGTATATGGCTGAATTGCAATTAAATTTCCGTTTAGATACTTACGTAACCTCCTTGCTTGAACTTGAACCTGACCTATGTACGGAGGTAATGTCGGCGCGTTTGCACATAGCCTTGGTTCAATGTAATGTCAATTCTCATATGCGACGAAGTCTTAAGCTAGATAATATTACAATACAGAGATATAGCGATTTATAATTGCGCTAATGCATACTACACAATTAACGTTAAACCTTTGCGTATCTCGACACCGCAAGTATGCCCGAGAGCCACATGGTGGTAGGATCCTCTCATTAGATGGTACACCTGTTGCCAAGAGCGACAGACAGAAGTCGGGGCCCTTAGGCCCCGTGGTGATCCTCCACCTTCCCCTCAGATCAACTCAAACCTCCAGCAAGGTACAATATTCTTTTCATCTGTATCTCAATATTACTATATTTTCTTATTACAAACACTCACCAGATTCGGGAGTACTTAACTATCTGCTTCGCACTAACCTACCCTTGCTCCTTACTTAATATCTACTCCAATTTCCTAACCTCACTTTGCAAAACATTCATTTTTCCCTCCATTCCTCTCTCCGTGTTGCCATTTCTAAGAATTTCGTTCAGAAATAACACACATATAAATAATAAACATACGCGACAAATATGTCGTGCTACAAATAAATAAGCTCCTTACCGACCATGGCTGTAATGGAAAGAAAAAAGGCCCGAGGATTTTATTTGGAGCATTATAGTCAAGTTAGCCATCATACTATTTACCAGCATGTGTGATGAAAATATAATTTTAATACAACTTCCTGCAAGCCCTCCGTATCATCGTAAGTCTGTCTCTTAAGCCAGGATTTGACGGCCATTTAATATTCTATTTTATTCATGGCGAAATAATGCAAAGTAGAATTTAATTTAAAGTAAACGAATGTGCCAAGAGGCAGAAGAATCTATGCGAATGTGCTGCGCGGAGTTGTGTGTGTACGAGATGAGAAGGTATAGTGTCGTCTGTGGTTGGTTGAAGTCACGGAAACAAATGGAGTACTTAATTAAGTGCTTTTTCAAAATTATTTGTAGGATAAACAGTTGCCGAACAGAGAGGACATCGTACTTGTTTAGGAGTTTGTGGGTTGGGTAATCAAATGGACGGAAATTAGTGACTTCAAGAACAGCTCTCTGCGCTCTTTCTACGTTTATCAAGGTGGTCTTATGAGCACCGCCCCAGGATGTAATGCAGCAAAGTAGCGATGATTGACAGAAGGGAAAATTCACTGATTTATGACGGGCGCCGCTAGTTAGTAAGAGCATTAGCTCCGGTGTGGTTCGAGTGCGCTGCGGTCAGATCGAAGGATTTTTCTTCGTGTTATTCGATCTTTGTACCAATAATAACATTTTACTGTGTTGTTCCTGCGTGCATAATCATCTGTAACATGCGTAAATGAAATGTAAAATAAAATAATGAGACGTCGTCTATTGTTATTTTTACAAGTACTTATTCAATTATGGTTTAAATACTATACTGTACTTTTTATAATAGTTATAGAGCTCCTTGTGAAAGAGTTCATCCAGGTAAGTACTGCCATATTACATGTTTGGGTGCTGAAATAACAGGCACGTGGGACTTGTCAACTTATGTCTCAGTGTGGCTGGCGCACTGGCAGTGCCCCTCAGATCTTTGTGATTTAAAGCTGTGAGTGGCACTGCAACTATTATGGACAGGCGTGTCACTTACCACCAGGCGCACTTGTTCGTCCCGTCTCTCGGTATCATAAAAAAGAAGTATAGGTGTGACGGCGTTCTAATTTCAAATTGCAATTATGTTTCTCAGAAAGCTATGAAATAATATTCTCAGTATATCGACTGTGAACTGGCAACCGGTACCATCTAAATTTTTTAATGATTTCACTTTTTAGTACCATTGTACACTGTTTCATACTCCGCAGCGTTGCAGGAAATTCCATCCCAGATACATTTAATTTTGGCGCCAAAATCGACTTCATTCAACTTGTACTAACTTCTAATCTATGCTATATAAATGACGCAAACAATTCTTTTCTTTATCTTGTAAAATTGTCAAAATTGAGATAGTACCGGCTGCCAATTCACAGTCGATATAGGGTTTTATTGCAAAAATATTACTAAATCATGTAATGTACAAAAACACCACTAACATAAAGAAATCATATGAAATAAGTTAATTTATTTACTGTACTAGTTAAATTGTTACTTACAATAGTTAGCACGAAGTCGTAATATGATTACGATATAACTGCACCGGTTCCTCATTTACTTGATTCTAATTGTATGTTGTATTCAGTCGATGACATTACTGATTACTACATATTTGTATTACCTTAACTGTATATTTGTCTAACAGGAACCGTGTTACGTGGAATACAACTTAGCATAAGTACATACAGGCTTTACGTAATACGACGCGATTATTATAAGTACATAAAATTCCATTGCTTATGAACGTGGGGACAATCAGGATTTAAAGGAGTGAAAGTTGTTTGAACCCCAGTACAAAGATCGACCAAATGTCAAGTTAGTTGTACTTTTTGAAGTCGTTAATATATTTTACTGTCAGTCACCATTCACTTACAAATAAATGGACGACGGGTCTAATACAAAAACCACGAAAAAAATGTCACAAGTCAACCTATTTAAACGTAGTGACATGTAAAGGAATATGAAAAAGCTAAAACGTTTAATTTAAATTGTAATGTCATCGCAGTACTGTCTTTAGTAAATATGACTATAGAAAATTAAATCAAGTAATTAACAGTTTTTTGTTCGGGTAATGTTTTTTACTGCAACTTAAAAAAAAACAAAAATGTGCGATAATAACTGAAGATCGTATAAAAATGAAAATCATTATTAAGTTGCGTTAAGATGGTTAGAAAAAGCCTAGCCACCTTACCTGTTTCTGCCGCCAAGCAGTAATGTGAACATTACTGCGTACCGGTTTTGAAGGATAAGAATGCTGGTGAAATTACAGGCACGTAGGACTTATCAACTTATATCTCAAGGTGACGGGCGTAGTGGCAGTGCCCCTCAGATTTTTGCGATTTAAAGCTCTGAGGACACTGCAACCGTCAGGCCCACGACTTGTTCGTCCCGCCACTTGATATGATAAACAAAATCATAATGACTGCTAGGGTGCTAACAGCACCTACTTACGATTTTGTTGTCAAGATGTGCTTACCTATTGTAACTGCTGGCTAAAGTTTAGATAATCCTACATAGGATTATAGAGTACATACTCTAGAAGCACCAGCCTTTTCCCAAGTAATATACAATACTTAGTTACCTTTCACATGAGTGTACTGTACCTAATGTAAGGCTTTTCACTTAGTACCTATCATAAAAAAAATGTGCGTTTGGTGTCGGCGGTGACACGGGCGTTTCAAGTTTCGGAAGTAAAACGCGGTCAAACTTTTTCATGTGTATTGCATGGACATAAAGCTTTTTCTGACCAGCTCCAACAGATTCTGCGTTAATACATGTGGTGACTTTTCTCTGATAGCACCGTAGTCTAACATCTTACGATACGGGGTCCTTCAAAGGAGGCGTTAAGAGGCATCTTGTAAGCAAACGATGGGACGAGCAAAACGTGCTCCTGGTGGTAAGCGACTCGCCTGTCCATAACTGTTGCAGTGCCGCTCAGAGTTTTAGATCGAAAAGATCTGAGGGGCGCTGTCACAGCGTCTGTCACACTGAGACATAAGTTCAAAAGTCCTATGTGTCACTAATTTCACCAGCACCTTTATTCTTCAAAACCGGAACGCAGCAGAAATAGGTAAGGTGGTTCCCTGGACGAGCTCTTTCACAAGGCGCTCTACTGCTACTAGTTCACCGCCACGCACGTTTGTTATTTTGTTTGTTTGATATTTGGGTGTTTAACCCAAATATCTGCATTATCGGGTATTACATAAAATATTGCATACTTTTAAACTCGTTGTTCAGTATGTTAGTGCAAGAAATAACGTACTTAATATTTTCCATATTTTCATTGAAAATGTCTTACCTACTTGTTGATTCTTTTACCAAACTTAGGTTAAGAGAAAAAAAAGACTTAATGTACAATAATAGTCAACTTCAAATGTTATTTGAAATCCACTGAATTAATTTTATTATAGGTATCAGTAGTATTTCACTTCGCTGCTAGTCTTCGTCTTGAAGCACCTCTCCAAGAGGGAATTGAGATGAACACGAAAGGAACCCTCCGGGTGTTGAAGATCGCCAAAAAGATGAAGAACTTGGTCGCCTTCGTTCATCTTTCGACTGCCTTTTGCTACCCGGACTACGATCGACTAGCTGAGAGGGTAAGGTTTCTTTTTTATTATTACATAGTATATTTCCCCTTTGACTCGTCACACGTCATAGTTATATTTTTAATCGTTAGGGATACCGTGTGTCGGGTTAATGTTATTTATTAGGGGAACGGAAGATAAAACGGATCACTTAAGGAAAATTCAACCATGAAAAAAAATCAATGTCTTTATTATAACTTGTTTAGCATTATATTATTGGGCATTTATTCATCTTACTTCCCTACTTCTAATATTTCAATCAAATCACAGATTAAAAAGATATTAGATGTTTTTCAAAATCAATGTTGGGATAAAACGGACCACACATGAAGGTAAAATGGACCGATGAAAATATGAAAAAAATAAACAACTAGTGCCCTTACTTAAAAGCACACCTTTCACAAACAAACCTAAGTTCTTCATCATAAAAATTTACAAAAAATAACTTACCTTAATAAAAACATTTTTTTTTTTTTTTTTTATGACATTAAGTAACGGGACGAACAAGTCGTGTGCCTGATGGTAAGCTACACGCCTGCCCATAACAGTTGCAGTGCCACCAAGAGCTTTAAATTACAAAGATCTTGGGGGCACTGCCACTGCGCCCGTCACCCTGAGACATAAGTTGACAAGTCTCATGTGCCTGTAATTTCACCAGCACCCTTACCCTTCACAACCGGAACACAGTAATGTGACCATTACTGCTTGGCGGCAGAAATAGGTAAGGTGGCAGTACTTCCCTGGACGAGCTCTTTCACAAGGAGCTCTACTACTACATGTTACATTCTACTACATGTTACATGTTATATGTTACATGGTATATGTTACATGCTACTACATTCTACTACATGTGCTAACGCAAGGCCCCTTCAAGGACAATGACCGTAAATGAAAGAGAGGCGACTACCAAGTGGACGTAAGTCGGTAATAGATGACTCTAGTAGTTTCATAGTTATAGGCGCGGTCCATTTTACCCACAGGGTCCGTTTTACCTTCCATTCCCCTATACGACATAAGTAGATAATTTACGCAAAGATACCATACAATGTTAAGGCTTGAACAATCGCGAATGACTTTAATGATTTGACCTCTAAGCAGTAGTAACAATTTCATACGCCATCTATCGACCACTCGCTTGTACTTACACAAAGTCAAATAAAGATAAGTTGTAAATTAGAATACAGAAGAGTCATAAGTGTTTTTTTGCAATCTATACCTACGTTGTTGTTCCCTCAGAGACATTTGAGAATAAACCATCGTAAAAATAAACATTACATAATATTTTAGGGGAGAAATCGTAATTTCATAAATAGTAAAAGTATTAGGTAAATCGTGCAATGATTCGATCGTTACTTGATAGGATCAATTAGCAACTAATACTACTATTTCCAACTATAAAAGAGAAGTAGAAAAGAGTAGTAAAATTAAAAGAAATACGTTTATTCGCTATATTTTAAATGCATTTAACAAACTTGAATTATGCGTCATTGAAAGTATATACTTTTATGTATTATTTATTCAATTTCTTTTATACAATACGTAAATAAACACTTAAATTAATAATAAAAAATAATAAAAGTGATTACGACAAATACGACTAATTTGTTTTTAACTGATGGAAATTTCAACAATAAGAAGTACAAAGTACAGCATAACGATACGTACTTAGCGCGAGGTTAAATAAATATACATTAAAATAGGTACTTTATTAACCAAATTGTTAACATTAAAAAGCGTCAAAGTCGAAATAGGGAGAATATAATAATATATTATAATATAATAGTTTAATTGAAGTTGGAGTACTATTTTCTGGTTGAAGCATGGGTTCGTTGTCACGAGAGCAAATATTTGCCATATTTTCTGGATCAGTAGTGGTTTATTTTCTTTGTTTTCTATTTTTTTTTAAACAAAACTGCTGCAAGCGGCGGTGGGCGGAAAATGTAATGCAATATGGTTTCATTTCTACTAAATAAAGTGGGTATGTCTTTGTATCCCGCGGTGCAGCGCGGCGCAGCCTGACGTCACCAGCTTGTGCTACCACGGGCACTACAAAGTGTGACTAGGCTACTCAATAATAGGATATATTTCTTTGAAAGGCAAACATTGGCTGAACAACATCGGACTGCTTAGGGCGAACTTTGGAAATAGCAATACTATATAGAACTTCAAATGTGTTAAATAAAGTGAATATTTCTTTCAAGGGAATATGCTGTGTGTGTGGTCGTAAGCGATTTGTAGATTTTACATAAGGCACGCAATGAGAAAGTTCCGGGTTCGATTTCCGGCAGTACCAATTAGGGAAATGAACTTTTCTAAAATGGTTTTGGCCTAGGTGTTCTGGAAAGAGTCGCTGAGTGAATTCCGTAGGTCTTGGTCCTGGTTTTGATTTCCGGTAGAACCAGTTTAGGAAATGAAGTTTGTTGTAATGAGTTTCTAAAATGGTTTTGGCCTAGGTGTTCTGGGTAGTGCTGCGGAGTGTATTCCGTAACTCTTGGTCGCGGGTTCGATTGCCAGTAGAACCAATTTCGGAAATGAACTTTTCTAAAATGGTTTTGGCCTGGGTATTCCGGGTAGTGCTGCGGAGTGTATTCCGTAACTCTTGGTCGCGGGTGCGATTCCCGGTAGAACCAATTTAGGAAATGAAATTTTCTAAAATGGTTTTGGCCAAGGTGCTCTGGGTAGTACCGCAGGAATCAAACCACTCGGCACTACTCAGAACACCTAGGCCTTCTCTTCCAGAACATCTAAACCTTCTCATCCAGTGCCATATTATTTGCATGTATTTTGTACAAATTCCATACTTCACCTTAAATTAATTTTTTATTTCGATATATCTATGTTGTCTAGTCTTTGTTAGTTATTAAAAAAGATGTAATGTAAATATAACGAAATAACTAATTTATAAAATCTAAAATATAAAAACAAAGTCAAATATATACATATATATATATTTGACTTTAAAAAAAAAAATTGAATATCAATTCAATAAAAATTTAATTAATACAGTGAATAGCGACATCTCTCGCCAGGACTGGTAGCTGCAAAGGTACTAACTGGGTGATAAATCTGTTATAGATTTCTAAGTAAGTTACAGCAGTACTTTCCTGGACGAACTCTTTCACAAAGAGAGCTCCTTGAACTGCAAATTAAAAGCAATCAGAGTCTTCATCTGATTTTACCAGTGCGTATAGTACAAAAGTGCCAATTTAATACACTAATTACCAATATCACAAGGTACCTAATAAGCTCCGACTACCAGAATTGTTTTTTACCAATTTTAAGACCCGTCCTTTTAATTAACACAAAACTATCACGTCATATTTGTTATCATCAAAACAATGAATTGCTTCTACGCTTTTAAAACGTTTTTTTTGTTTCAATACGAACCTGCGTCATCTTTTCACAGTAACAGAAGTAAACAAAATTTGTTGAACTCCAACAGTCATTATTCAAAATTGTTTGTTATATTATGATGAAAGAAATCTTGTATTAACAGGTTAGCATAAAATACTACTACATCATATAAAATAGGCAACTTTCCTTATTAGGTCCACGACCCCCCCGCGCCGCCTCACGAAGTTATCCGTGCTGCCACCTGGTTATCTGACAAACAACTGGAACTGTTAGCTCCAAGCATCATGGGTAAACATCCCAACTCCTACACGTACTCCAAGCGTTTAGCTGAAGCCCTTGTAAGGGATCATTACCCTGAATTGCCCGTGGCAGTCGTGCGGCCCAGCATAGGTAAGTGAATGCGTGTGGTTTCGATATTTGTTAAGGTTCGATGTTGGTTAATCCATGTACGTCATACACCTGTGTTCTCGTAAGTTTTTATAAACGTGCATACGTACGTAGTGTTTTTCTATTGTTAGAAAAAACAAAATTACCATATTATACAATTTGTTTAAAACTTGCAAGTTTTTTGACGACCTCGATGGCCCATCGGTTTGCATTGTGTCCCAGGTTCGATTCCGTTCCCTAGTTTGAGACCAGGCATTTTTTCCATCCTTCCATCCCATTATTCGGGGTCCTTGAATGTTCTTTGTTTGTGTTTTAATCTTCTTTATTTATTAAGTTTTTATTTAACCTTATATTATTCAATCTTTGCGTGTAAAATTGTTCAGATATTAAAGTATAATTCTAATTCTAATTAAAGTTAAAATTGTATAATGTCATTCGTAAAATAATAATAATTGTCAAATTGTAAAATAATATTAAAATGGTCCAATTAACAAAATAAAATCAGTGCTAATAAATAAAATAAAATATATCGTTAGAATTAAATTCATAAATTCATTAACTTGTCGAGATCTATTTTGACGGCCTGCCACCCTTCGCCCACATTGTCCCCTCCGCGAGACGGAGGCTTTGAGGTCGCTTTGTTGACTGCCGCTTTGGCTGTCGCCTTGAGGCCAGGTATTTGGTGTGGTTGTTCGACACATTTATTTACTTAAGGAAACGCGAAAGTACGTCGCGATTGTTTAACAAATATTGTTATTTTTACACATAACAATTTTACGGCAAATGACAAAAATAATAATCCATAACATAAATTAAATCCATAATTTCAGTAACTCCGTCATACAAGGAGCCAGTACCTGGGTGGGTGGACAACCTGAACGGGCCAATAGGGTTGATGGTGGGCGCTGGCAAGGGCGTGATCCGGTCTATGCACTGCTACGGACACTATCACGCCGAGGTCATTCCGGTGGACATTGCCATTAATTCTATTATTGTCATTGGATATAGCCTTGGCACTATGACTGAGAGGTTAGTTTCTAATATATTTAAACTGACAATAAGCTTTAGAATTAAGTTTTAGAACAATATGTGCACGGTCTTTTTACACACGGCACAATACATTCAGGGGAAGTCAAGACGACTTAGTAGAATCAGGTCAGCTGTTTGATCAGAACTGCCCTTATAGTCTTTTGTCCAAAGGAACTTGGTCTAATTTTGAATTTCTGTCAGTCTAGTCAGTCCATCTTTATGGCTAGTCAGTCCGCTAGCCCTCCATGGAGGCTGGACGCGTTAATATACTTGCAGTTGACATGGCAAAATTATATGGGAAATCGATTCCTCCTACATAAAGTATCGTGAATCTAATTCACAACTTTATAGGGGAACATTTTAGCGAATTGAACGGACTAAAATAAGCATTGCCTAAAATACCTGCGATTCTTGAGGTGTTGTAATTATATTTGATACATACTCATTATTTTTCCTACTTTATAAATCAACTGCTGAGTATAATGGACTAAATAAAAATAAGGTGATTTATGAAAAGATGCATCCATTTTTGTGGCTTACGATAGATTACGTAGAAGAGGAGTCGACATACTGACTGGTTTATTAGTCGAACCGCATGGACAGCTTGTACTCGAAGAACAAGTCGATGCGATCCCTGCTCAGGATCCTTGTTGGTTCAGCAGCTGTCCATTGCCATCGAGCAAGTTAATGCCAGTACCTATAATGGAAACTGAGTCAAGCACGGTACGGGGCGGCATCTTTTTAAGTTAGTTTTTGACGACGTCTCTTGCAAATCCCAGTTTTTTTCCTGTTTTAGTAAGTTACTATTGACGAAACCTAGTGCTGATCTTTAGGGGATCTACTTTTTAATACTTATCTATTTTTACTGAATAAGTTATATTTTTAGACGTTTGTACTTATGTAGACTAAAAACTAAACTTAACCTGGAAATTTAAATATATTTTTCTTAATCAACCCATTTGCTATAGAGATTGATCCATCTGTTATAAATAAGTTTATTGTTAATAAATTAAGCAATAAAACAAGAGACAAAGCAACGTAATAAATTGTTCTTCATTGTGTACCTACACCACTGTTAACATTGATGATTGTATCATTCACACTATTGTATTGATACACGTTACCAAGAAAGTTTAACGAGTGGTAGCTCTGAGACGCTATTTAGTTTATTGTATTCGCTCTTTGCACAATACCAGCGCCTCTTAGCACAATTTGTAGACTCTCACGTTTGTTGAAATCTGATCAGAAAAGTTTTTTTTTTATGTTTATTAAGACTTTATGTTTATTGTCCTTATCATTTTTTTATTTTGTACAGTTACCAGTTATTTGAAATCGTATTTTATTGTATTTTTATTTATTTATTCAGAAACGAGACTACAATAGTCCAAATTGGTTAGTAACAAGAGAACTCCTATGTCTATAATAATGTAATATAATCCTCGGATCCCAAAGTAACTAAATAAAAAAAATAAAAATATATTAAAAATAAAAATCATTTATTATCAGACAATCATAGTCAATAGTTTGTTAGTAATACAAAAACCCTATGCTATATTAGTTAATTTTATATTTTAACGACACACAATTAAATAATTCAAAATCAATTCAAAATCAATTCAATGTCAATTACAAAATACAAAGTAAATTTAAGAGCAAAAAAAGCACTTGTGTTATGAAAATCGGAAACAACGATGGTAACACAAACACCCAGAAAAAGAGAAAGTACGTAAAGAACAGTTTTTCTACATTGACCCGACGGGGATGGAATCCCGGTCTTCGGTGTACAAGCCGCTCGACAACGGAGGTCGTCAATTAGTATACATTTAAATAAATTAGTGCCTGAATAACAGGAAAAGTTACTTCTGGTGATCAGCTCCTCGGCAAAGTGACGCATGCATGCGAGTCATACCTTGCCACCACTGTCTTCAAGATGGAGTTAGTACTGGCCTGCAGTCTGTTTTTTGCGCGTCATAGCATAGAAATCATCAGTTCTAACTTGCGCAAATGTGCTCGAGGCGCTGCAGGCCCGCGGCAGCCCCATCAGCATCCTGAAGCCATTATTATATTGGATTGGAAAGACGCTGATAGCTTCCTGCGTAAAGCTGATATACTAGAGGATATACGTACGGATAGAAGACTTGATAGTATGCTTTAAATAATGTTACGTTTACTTGCTTACTACAACGTGCGTCTGGCCGGGCCAACATGTTACATCTAACTGCCGACGCCCTTCTTTCACTTTCTAAAGAAATCTGCCTCCGTGGCCGAACGATTACCACGCAGGACTGCCACGCAGAGGTCTCGGGATCGATTTCCAGACCGGGAGAAATATTTCTATGGGCTACATTTATTTCTCTCGTGAGTTTGGGTGTAATTTGTGGTTGTTTATGTGTGTGTCCGTGCACCCGTGACACAAGGTTTCCCTAGTGCGAGGTTATGAGTGTGCGCATTATTTATTTATTTATTCAATGTCCAAATGGTTCCTAAAGTCCAATCGCGAAATTAACTCTTACAGGCCTCCAGAGATCCCGGTCTACAATCTAACAACCGGCGACGATAGGAACACAACGTGGAAAGAAGTTCTCGATGTTGGCAAAGCGACCGTCCGAAAGTACCCATTCGAAGGCCCCCTGTGGTACCCTGATGGGAACATACGACATAACAAGTTCATACATGACTTGTGCGTCTTCTTCTATCACATCGTGCCGGCTTATTTCATTGATTTCCTCATGCTGTTGTTTAGGCAAAAGAGATTGTGAGTATGCAGTTCGGATTATTGTTTCTCTTCATTCTATTTTATTAGGTAATAAAGTAATTGTAACAGTAATTGAAAAGCCCGACAAAACATACTCTTTTACTCCGGTTAGATTTACTTTTCATGCAGTTTTTTTAGTGAATTAAATAAAGAAATATTTGTTGTGCGTGTGTACGGGATTTTAGATATCTAAAATAAATGTGATAACAGTAGCATATCTATCATAAAGAATAATTATTAGTAGCAATAGAGCTCCTTGGAAGGGTAACGGTATCGGTGAAATTACAAGCACATGGGACTTGTCAACTTACGGGTGACGGGCACAGTGGCAGTACCCCTAAGATCTTTGCGATTAAAAGCTTTAAGTGGCACTGCAACTGTTATGGACAGGCGTGTCGCTTACTACCAAGCGGCTTGTTCGTCCCGTCACTTGGTATTAAAAAAAATATATATTTCTTACAATTTCTAAAAAACTTAACGGGCAGCAATTTGATTCTCAACAGCAAATCCGTCTATCCTATATGTCCTAAAAAGAGAGACATGAAAAGGCCCCTCGACAAATTAAGGCCGAAGCCACACTGCGAGCGAAACTAAGTTAACTGAGCATAGTTTAGCTCACTTAGCTGCATGCAAGCTGAGCTAAGAAAACACGGGGCAGTATTGAAGTGCTGCTACTCTACGTTACTTTTTCCCGCACAGGGGTAAAAGACGACTTGGGTAGCTAGCCAACATAGTTCAGTTAGCTCGATTAGCTTAGTTCGCGGTGTGAACAGACATATGAAAACATGCCGCGGCTACATGAGCTAAGCTAACTTAGCTTAGCTTCGCTCGCGATGTGGCCTCTCCTTAATGCTTGCGACAGAACCCAATACATACCCAATACATATTTTTCTGACAAATCTGTAATATTTCTATTGTTTTTCAATTTTCAGTATGGTCCGCATCCAAAACAGAATAACAGTAGGTCTAGAAGTTCTCCAATACTTTACGACTCGCGAGTGGTGGTTCGACACGCACAACTTCAAGGCGTTGGCAACCAAATTAAACCATGTGGATACAGAGAAATTCCCCATGGACTTGACTATCATTGAAACGGAGCCTTATATTGAATGCTGCATGATCGGCGGAAAGATTTACTGCATGAAGGAAAAGATGGAGAACTTACCTAAAGCCAGACTGCAGAATAACATGTAAGTACCTAATAAATACGTAAACAAAAAAATAATATCGATTTCCCTCGAATAAACTTTTTATGAGGATTTTCTTGAATATCAATAAAATCAATAAAGCGACATCTCTTGTCAACGTCTGGTAGCTGTCAAATTACCTGGCTGAATGAAAAACTTTCATACATTTCTCAAAGATGGCGGCTACGGCTGTGATTGTGAAAAGTGTAAAGGGATTCCAGCTTTTTGGTTGAAATATGTATTTATGTAATGTAATTAAAGATCAAATTGGCTTAAAAATATTCTTTACATGTCATTCACTATTGATTTCAATAAGGAAGTCTCTCACCGTTTAAAGGTTAAATTTGTTTAACACCTTTCTTGACACTGATCTACTCAGAACCAAAGAGACGAATTGGGAGTCAATTATCATAGGGTATCGACGGTATTTAGTAAAGTAAGTTAAGTTGGAGTAATAAATAGCTTTTCTGTACCACAAAATGCAATAAATGACTATTACTATTAAGTAACCTATTATGTACTCCATAAAATTAACAATCTGTATACTTCTTTTCCAGTTTGGGTGTCCTAGACAAGCTAGTGTCTGTGTTCTTCTACCTCTTCTTAATTTCCCTGGTCGTGTCCTACTGCGAGCCGGCTAGGACGCTGCTGTCCTATGGTGGAACTGCGGTTCGGTATCTGCCTCTTGTGGGCAAAGCCGTTTTTAAAGATGACTTGTAACATATATGTTAATTCTAACCTTTTTTAAAAAAAAACCGACCTCACAAGTTTGTGGAAAATCTATTTGCCAAGTTTTGTTCGGAAAGTGAGTGAAATCTCATGAACCGGATTGGTCCTTTAATTTGTCCTTAGAGGTGGAATATTTTGTTCAATCTTCTTCATTTAAATGAGACCACTACTGAGGTATTCCCTCTCCAACAAAAACGAATCCTCGAAATCGGTACACAAATGTCGAAATAATCGCGTAACATATAACAATAACACAAAAATGCAGTCGCATGGCGAACCTCCTCCTTTTTTAAGTCGGGTAAAAATACAGGTTAACTATGACAACAATTTAATCATGTACCAGTGGTGAAGGTCCGTCTTATGGCCACGATTCCATTGGCTTGTTTTAATTTAGGAATAATAGAAATAATACTATACTAATCAACAACATTTACAGAGCTACCATTTTAGTTACAATAAAAAAAATCCGCTTGTTTTGAAAAAACACACACACATCCTAACAAATTTTCTCCGTTCATGTAACGTAATAGCTGATGCAGAGCATTTGCAGTGTATCTCCACGATCGGTTTACTTGTTTCATACACAGAGTTACTTATAAAATACTGACAATCTCGCAGTTCTACGAGCTATGTGACCTGCCCACTGCCACTTCAACTTGCTAATCCTTCGAGCTATGTCGGTGACTTTCGTTCTTCTACGGATCTCCTCATTTCTGATTCAGTCATCGTAGGCAACATGCACTGCCCGAAGATTTTTGTCTTCAAGGACTGCGGTATTGTCGAGAAGACATCCCGGAGCTCCCCGGAAGCTGCCCAACCGAGTCGGATTTGATCAGTCAACCTCAAGTAACCATCCATTGTTGAAAATATAGATGAGATAAAACAGAGTACGTAAACGGTGGACAATTATTGTAAACTTTCACGGTTTTCGCACACTATTTGATTTTTAAAAATCGGGAGTTAATCGCGAAAAAATATATTTTTCAACACATTTCCTAGTATTAACATTTGTCATGACAAGCAGGAAAAGTTGGCCGTAATGTCCTTTTTTTATTATAATATCAAGTAACGGGACGAACGAGTCGTGCGCCTGATGGTAAGCTACACGCCTGTCCATAACAGTTGCAGAGCCACTCAAGAGCTTTAAATCGCAACGATCTGAGGGCACTGCCACTGCGTCTGTCACCCTGAGACATAAATTGACAAGTCCCATGTGTCTGTAATTTTACCAGCACCCTAAGGGACTATACACACATATCCGGGCCGTGCCCGAGACGTGGACGGGCACGGACATGTGTGAACGAGTTCATACAAAATATACACAACGATATTTTTTTGAGCCCCTGACGGAGCACGGCCCGTCCACGTCCAGGCCAAGGCCCGGGCACGGCCCGGATATGTGTGGATAGATCTTTACCCTTTAAAACCAGAACGCCGTAATGCTAACATTACTGCTTGACGGCAGAAATAGGATATGAGGCAGTAGGTACTTCCCTGGACAAACACTTTTATTTATTTTGTATTTTATTTATTTCTTTTTAATTTTATTTGCACTGTACTTTATGCTCAAAAATCTGAATGTATTTTTTTATACAAAAAAAGCTATACCTTGCCAGTATGCAGTATTTTGCAAAAATAATTTATTTTGTATTTAATGCATCATAGTTGTTTGCATTTTTGCCTTTTACAACATTTTAGTTGGAGTTGTTTTTTTTATGGATGAATATACCTGGCCATCTGTTTATTTTAAAAAAACCCGCCATTTGCAAAATCTGTAATTATTGTGTTGTGAAACGATATTTATTCATACAAGAAATAAATTATAATCGTAATTATTTCGTCGCAAATGTGATGAAAAACGTTGTATGTAGCACGGGCGGTAAAAAATTCCAAACCTCAAGGTTACCTTTTGTATTCTGCCTCGTGTCAGTCTAATAGACTCTCATTAGTAATTCTTTCGAGACATGAATTCCGACTGCGGGGTTGAGTCATCGTCTCAAGGTCACCTTGAGAGCTATGGAGCGAATTATGCTCGGAGTCTCTCTACGCGATAAGTTACGAAATGGGGCAATACGTTTGTTCACCAAAGTCATCGACGTTCTGGAGACCCCGTTTGGGAAGACGAAGTGTGGGCAGACGACCTGCAAGATGGTCGGACGAAAGTAAAAAGACGGCAGGGCCGACCTGGAACAGAATCGCTGCAAACCGAGGGCTATGGAAATCATACCAAGACGCAAGAGGTATATATCCAACAGTGGAGTCAGTAGTATGCCGAGAAGAAGAAGTAATTTCTTATTTACCGCCCGTTATACACAATGGACTATTATTTACCTCGACGTTTCGGATGTGTTGGAACGTCCATGGTATCGGAGCGACTCAAACCCTTATGATATGCGATCAAGTCTCCATTTTTTAAAATCAAATGGACGACTTCGGGTAACGGTAAAAAGCGTGGTCGGACAGTAAGTCGCCCCTTCAGGTCGTTCGGCGTTCCCCGAATCGAACGATCAAATATAACCGGGTCTTAAATACTTAAATTATGTATGCGTAGGTATAAAGTAATATAAGTAGGTAAGTTAAGCTTCATTTACAACTGTACATACATATATTTTAAATTTGTATCATATATGTAAACGTTTGACTTCAATGTCTACCAGACGTTTTTCGATTATACAGGTTGTACTGAAACGTTGCAATAGTTGATTGTGATATAAAAATCCACACTGAAAATATATTTACAATCTCTAGAGTTAGTATCATTTTTATTCAGATTTGTTAAGCTAACTGTTAAATTTCGATTACCGAAAACCAGTGCGCTACCAAAAAACGGCACTTACATTATATAAGATCTAGAGCCATGGTCCTATGTAAGTATGGATATAGTGAAATGTTGTTGAGACTGCAAATGTGTAAAGAACAAAATTTACGGACTTATATTATAAGACATTTATTTTAGACACCTGTAAGTATATGCGTAGTAAAATATATATTGCCTACAGATGTGTGTTTATTTTATAAATAATAAAAATAAATGATTACAATACAAATTATCGGTAATTATAACTTTTTATAAAAAAAACCGACCTAAGTAATTTATTACTTATTATTATTAACTTTTATTGGAATTGGTTAACGGAAAGTGAGTGAAATCCAACAAACTATCAGCCCATAATTTATCACCCTTAGAGGTGGAATATTTTCTTCAAATTGAAACGACGCCAATGTGGCGATACCCTCTTTCCAACAAAAAAAAAGAATCATCAAAACCGGTTCACAAATGCCGAAGTAATGTGTAACATACGAGTACACAAAAAAGGCAGTCGAATTGAGAACCTCCTTTTTGAAGTCGGTTAAAAATATTTAAAATTGTAGTAGGAATTTATTCTTTACCATTTGTTTTACAAAGATACTCGTTTTTCGGATCCAAATCGAGTACATATGATTTTTCATACAAATCAACCTAAGTCGGTTCCAAAGTCTCGATAGTTGGAGCTGTGAAAGCCCGAAACATAAGTTGTTGGAAAAAAGAAACTTACGCGTTTAGATCCGAAAATATAGTTCCATTTCCAACGTGTAACAATCGCGAAAATCTAAGAAACTTGTTTTTAAATAATTATATATATTATACTTTTCATACATTGCTTTAACAATAATATATCTTTAAAAATTTTTCGGTATCTATATGTATAGCACAATATGTGGGTTACATCGTTCCTTCTAAATAAAAAATGCAATACTAAAGAAATAAGTTTAATAATATAACATTATGACTGAATGATTTATGTTACACGTACACTGAATGTTTATGATTACGGTGCCTTTAACTTGTACTATTCTAAATTCACTGTGCTGAATGACGATATCTATGTACTAGCGTACTAGATGCGGCGTTCCATACACACGCAATGTTTCACTGATGTGCGGTGAAGACGCTGCACATCCTTTAGTTATCAAACATTCAGGATGGCGGACGCAGATGCGGTTCTTTTAAAATTTATTTACATCGGTGTGTTGCTCACAATTGTGTGAACATAAATTCAAAGTTTTAAATTATTCACAATGATTCGGTCAGTAATGTCGCGGTTTTTTTTATTAATTTGTGCATTATGTATAAATTATAATATTTGATAATCGCGAAATAGTATACACAATTGCACACTATCCATCTCGTTTTGCAAGCATATAATGACGCGTGTTCAAACAAGACAAAACATAAATCATAGATTAATAAGCAACGGAGTGTTCTGACTACTCAATAACGGAGTATGTATAATATGATTATAGCAGTTACTAAGATTACCATATGAATTCAAAAAATATATAAAAAGACTAGGCTCAACAATATCTACGTACTTGACTAGGATGCATGGTCTACAGGTCTTTGCCTTTCCGCAAGGAAAAGTACGTAAAATAACATCAATAATTTCAACTGTATTGGATTCGCTCTGGACCTTTTGGAGGGAAAAGTGTCGTTTTTATTTTGACTTTCAATTATTTTGTGAATTCTAGTTTAAAGTGGAATAGGATAGTGCTATTGTGCCTTAATCGAAGATTAAAACGCGAAATTATGCGAATCTCGAACTAAAATACCCGTATCTGCCCGTTTTAAGGAATCCCAAGTCAATCCAAGCACGCCGCCTCAAATTGCCTATCCTCTTTGTGGCGGCCATGTTTACAGAAACATAATTAAACTTCATGTTTAGGCTGATTGCTTTGCCAAAGCCTTAATAAATAAATAAAAAAAATTTCAACTGTATTTTTATTTTCTTTTATTGCCTATGTCATTCCCAATAAGCATAGACTGTTACGTCCGTCCACAATATTATATTGTTAGTTAGGTATTGATATTCTTTTAAAAAATTCAACACTAATCAATGGTGATAGTGTTTTGTTTGGAACAGTTTGGAACATGTAGTTGCTGTGAATGTTCTTGTCTATAGATTGAAGTCGTTGATGCTAAATAAGTTACTCCTCACACTTAATTACAGTGTAAAGACATTTACAGACATTGACTGTTTAACAGAATAATAAATGATTAAAGGTGAAGGATAATGCAGTTAGCACCCTGAATTTAGGAAAGGCCCATATCTATCTACATAAGTTTTGTTTCTAGTGCCCCTCCCTATCAACCTCTTGGTTATAAAATTTCAGACGGATTCGCTCTGGGCCTTTTGGAGGGAAAAGTGTCGTTTTTATTTTGACTTTCAATTATTGTGTGAAATCTAGTTTAAAGTGGAACAGGATAGGGCTATTGTGCCTTAATCGAAGATTAAAAAAATACTGGTTTCGGCCCGTTCTAAGAAATCCCGAGTCAATCCAAGCACGCCACCTCAAATTGACTATTCTCTTAGTGGCGGCCATATTTACAGAAACATAATTAAACGAAGACATAGCTCAAAGGACTTATATCCAAGCCAAAATTATTAATTATAATAAAATTTCAGACACTGAAGATAATTCTAGGCAACTCACGAAATGCGATCTTTTTAAACTAAGAACACGAACACAAGATTTGTTGATTAAAAAAGCTATTATAATATATCAGAATTTTTTGAAGATGGGAATGTCTGAGACACATTCAGAGCCAATCACGCTAGCCGCATTTCCTCGCTGTATGGCAATGGAGAATCTTTGCGCCAACACCAATCCCGCGACTGGGAGTCATCTTCACTCTCTCTTAGCCGTCGCCCGATTTCCACTACAGCTTTTTCGCACCGCTATCCCAACAACCCGCCGTCTCAACAGTAAGCGGAATGAAAATGTAGCGACTTTCCATTCGCTATATTTGTCTCGCTTCTTGCGAGCTGCGGACTCAGCAGCTACACCAGCTGAAGTCACTGTGCCACTGAGATGCGAAGCTGCAAATGTGCTAACACATGTCGCACCCCACAAGAGACTCTTGGTTAAAATGGAAAATTATAATTTATTTCAAAATGCAAATGTAATAATAACAATAATGTTTTATTAAACATTTATGCATTACATTTATAAAAAATAATAATAATAATAATAATAACGCACACACTCAACATAGCCCCGCACTAGGGAAACCCTGTGTCGCGGGTGCTATGGACACACACATAGACAACCACAAATTACACCCAAACTCACGAGAGAAATAAATGTATCTACAATCAATCAAGCACGCTATTACTTAAATTAAAATTTTATTTTAAGTGTAACTTTGCGACGCCCCTTACAGGATATCGCACATATGTACCAATAATAGTTGTAAGTTTAATCTGTAACATCCGTGTGAAATGCAAACAAATGTATAAAAATAAAAAAGAAATTCAATCAACTTAATCAAAAATCAAAAATACCTCTTACAATTATATATGTCATCTTATAACTCTCCATTTAAGCATAAGAAGTTATCGGCTAATTTCGTTCAGAGAATCTTGAAACTTCTCTAATGGGAAGTTGTCATTTTGCACCAAGGGCGCGATATCATGTTATATTTTAACAGTTTGTAACAAACTCGTGTAGCTTTTTCGTTAACAACCTGTGACCGTAGCAAGGCAGAATATGTGTGATAAACCTCCCCGTGACAATATTTAATTCAAGCTGATAAATCTAAGTTGGCTTATTTGGTAATGAACTATTGTTGCACCTTTTGAAGAACAAGGACAATGATATAAAATTGCGTATATAGCTATCTTTGTCATTTATTGATCGCCATTGAAAACGATGAAACAAAAAATGACAAATCTACATTTGCTTATTTGGTAATGAACTACCTATTCTTATAGATTTTGAAGTACCAGGATCTTTGTCGTTTAATCATCGCATCGCCGCGAAAACCATGAGGCAAAATGTCTTTTCATTTCGTTTGTTGCGCTCAATTTTTACTGTGAACTGTGTTAATCTTTTGCAGTCATTGGTCGCCGGCGCTTGCGATGATATAAAAATGCGACGTCACTTCGCTATTGTGATAAAATTTTATGATATTATAAGTTTATTACTCGAATTTGACAGATAGATGTGGATATAATAGCTTTATAGCGGCGGCACACTACGGGAACGTCGTCATAGTTGACATTATTTTTGGTCCAAAATACAATCCTTTTAACACTATTGTGTGACAGTTCAAAGCTAACTAGTCAACTTTCACATTAACCCGTAGAATCAATTATCAATAGAGCCGGTCGAAGTACCTATGTCGTGTTCACATATGAAGAAACACCGTACGTAACATTGCATGTCGTTGAGCCCGCCATTATAGAACATGGTGCCGCAATGTTCAGTCGGGTTGTCCGGTTGGCCCCCTCCCCATTTTGTGTAGCCACTTTCACTGAGAGGTACACCTGAAAATTACAAATTTATAAATGTTGGATCGGTAGACAGAAAACAAAAGTGCATGATAAATACAAAATTAAATAGTATTAAGGAAACATCATTAAACACACGCTAATAACCGCCTGATAAGTTTTAGTCATCTAAATTTAATAAAGGTAATTACTTTTATAGAAACGAAGCTACTCTACAAAAATATCATGAATGGTTATATATCATTAAGTAAGATATGTACCCTTAACAGTTTTCCACCCTTCTGAGTTTTTATTATGGAAGCCCAAATGGACAGCGCCAGACATGAAGTCCCCAGTAACCTTATTCTTCGGCGCGTCAGCAGTCATTTTGACCAGATAGTCTGCTTCCGCTTGACTTTCAATTATGGCAAGGTACGACTGTTCAGCACTGCAAGTTGTGCTTGCTTCAGTCCAATTCTTCGGAGTCAAATGGAACTTGTAGCATTTTCTAAATTGTTGTTCAAATTTGTAATCTGAAATATTTTTATACACTAAAATTATTGCGTTAACCACGTCATTTTAATTTGTTAATATATACACTGCGAATCGAAAAGTGAAAGAAATTTGCTAACTACTGTTAGTAACGACCATTGATTTCAAAATTTGGTACTTAGTTATATCCAGCCCAAAATACTAGCACTAATACAGGTGTTAAAACACACTTCTGTGGTTTTACTTTTTAAATGTGCCCAAAAGATTTTCCAAATCTGAACGAGTTACATTATATTGCGGTGATCTTTTATTTATTGCGGGGCTGTACATTTCATAGTGACTACATTGCTACTCTCCTTGTCATAAACAACGTTATTTTGGTAACTTTCCAGTTATTAACCTAAGTAAGTTTCTTTTTTCTATGAAAAATGCCAATTACGCTGATTTTGCTTAACAATAAAACAAACTAAATAAGATATATATAAAAAAACCGGTTAAAAGGGGTTGTAAACTCGATTTCGCCAAAAATGTTGATAATTGTGTTTATGACAAAGACGGCAGATTGGCAAAATAAAATTTTAATATACTCCACTTAAACACAAAACACATTAAACCATATCCATATAAGAACTCATGAAACAAATAAAATTGTTAGTTTTTTTCCGAAATTTATGTACAATGCAGCCGTATTGTATAAACCGCCGTATTACATTACGGCTAGCCACTTTGCAAAACGTCGCTGTTTTCTGATAACGGTTACCACGTGTTAAGTCGGATTGCAATTCGCCTAAAAAAGTACGCCGCATTGTAATAGAACGTGATGTTTCACAAAGCCGCTAAGAAATAAAACGAAAAGTGCAAAAAATATATTACTTTTAGGAGTGAAAAAAGTGAAAATGGTGAATAATGGTGAACAAACGTAACGCAAACAAATTCGATTCTGGTCTGCTTTTTCGTATACTAACCTAATCTAAACTACTGAATAGAGGACCAACCAAGATTTGACCTATGTATAATACAATACGGCTGCGACACACTCGTACATAGGGGTCACTTCGTGCGGGCCAAGATTCGAGTTCACATTTGACCGCCGCATTTTGGATCACCTCATATACATAAGTATATATATAAGTTTCCGGAACTGGCCACTTACATAAACAATATTTAAAAAGTAATTACAACATTTGAAAATAGAACTCTTTGGCTGTAGAATACAGTTTGTTTTATCTGACCGTCACTTGTTTTTACATTGTGGCGTCATTTTAGAAATTGGTTGTCTACATCACCATGGATTTAACTCGTGAAAATTTTCGTAGTATAATTTTCTGCGACTTTAAGTGTAATTTAACAGCTCAGCGGAGCTTCGGTCGGCATCAAACTGGTTTTGACGATGAAGTACCATGCAAGACGACTATTTATGGCTGGTTTGCAGAAATCAAACGCGGTCGTGTGAAACTCAGTGACGAATTTCATGATGGTCGCCCGTCCACTCCTGTGAACAACAAAACCACCGATGCTGTGCGCCGTATGATCAAAACAGACCGGCATGTGGCATACCATGAGATACAGGCATCTTTAGGCATAGGCATGAGTCAAATACAATCAATACTACACAAACATTTGGGTGTGAAAAAGCTGTGCTCTCGGTAGATCCCACACAATTTGACTGAGGCTCATAAAACGGATCGCGTCACTTGGTGCAATGCCATTCTTACCAGATTCTATGTAGGGGCGTCAAATTTGGTGTGATATATAGTAATAGGTGACGAAACATGGATTTATAATTACGATCCCAAAACAAAACAGCAATTGAGCGTATGGGTCTTTCGAGATGAGCCGAAACCAACGAAAGTGGCGCGCGTGCAAAGTGTCTCTAAGCGGATGATTGCTTCTTTTTTTAATAAAACTGGGCACGTGGCTACTCTTGTTTTGGAGAATTGTTGTACCGTGAATAGTGATTGTTACACGACCGTTTGTTTGCCGGTAATTATTGACAAACTCCGTAAAAATAACCGTAAACGCCGTATCATCTTGCACCACGATAATGACAGTTCTCACAAGGCCAGACAGACAAATGAATTTTTGAAGGTGAACAACGCTGACCTTATGAGCCCTCACGCGTACAGTCCCGACTTGGCACCTTGTGACTTTTATTTATTTCCAAAAATTAAGAACCAGTTACACGGTCAACGATTTTTATCACCTGAAGAGGCTGTGACTGTGTGGTGGGCTGTGAGGTGTATGAAAAATATGTTTCAGAGATTGTCACGGAGGAGTGGCATAAATGTTTTCAAAATTGGTTAACTCGTATGAAAAAGTGCATTAATGCTAACGGAGAATATTTTGAGAAACAATAAATTCATTTCTGACCATTTATAGTATTTTTTTCTTATTCATTCCGGAAACTTATAAAGCGCCCCACGCATTTGTTTTTAAATATTTATAGGATTTAACGCACCTTTGTTTGGCATATCGCAGTCGAAATTCCACTCGAGATCAGCGAACATTTTCTTACATATGAAAGGGTATTTCCTGTCACAGCGTTCATCGTTCAATCTTCCATCTCTATCCGAGACAACACAAACTTCCTGCTCATCTTGTTCGTTAGGTTCTCCTGGCGCCCAGTTTTTGTATACATCGTCTAATGGTTGGCCTGGAAATGTTCCAATAGATTAATCTGTTTTGTTTCTTATAATTTCGAGCGCGATTAAAAAACAAACACACATAGATTTACGTAGGTAAGTCTGGCATCGTTGAGTGCCTAATAATTACGATTTGATTCGAATAAAATATTCAAAACATCTTCTAGTTGTGTCATCAACTTTTTTTTTCCTAAGTGCAATGTAAGTAAACTGAGAGTTCCCAATGTATTTGGATTATGTAGTTAAAACGTGCCACTCAGGACTTTAAATCGCAAAGATCTAAGGGGCACTGGTAGGTACTGCTCTCGTCGCCTTGAGACATATTATGTTAACAAGCCATGTGGCCAGTAATTTCACCTGCACCCTTTTCCTTCCAAACCGGAACACAGTGTTACTCACATTACTACTTGGCGGCCGAAATAGGTATTGTGGCAGTATCCCGAACTCTACGGCTACTAAATAGCTTGTACGGTTATTAGTTTATTGACGTCCATATAGTTTTTTTTAATACCAAGTGACGGGACGAAAAAGTCGTACGCCAGATGGTAAACGACACACCTGCCTATAATAATTGCACTGCCGCTCAGAGCTTCAAATCGCAAAGATCTGAGGGGCACTGCCACTGCGCCCGTCGCCCTGAGACATAAGTTGACAAGTCCCATGTGCCTGTAATGTTACCAACACCTCTACCATTCAAAACGAAGTGCTCAAATTGCTGCTTGGCGGCAGAAATAGGTAAGGTGGCAGTACTTCTCTGGACGAACTCTTTCACATGGAGCTTTATTGCTCCTATATTATAATTTATCCCATGAGAAGTTTTTTAACTATACATGTTTATTCATTGTGTACGTAATAAGGAAAACCAAAAACAGGTCAACAATATGCGCAGAAAAAATACGGTTCAATTTAATGCTAACTTAGTTAGTAATAAGCAATTTAATTTTAAATAAAGTATACAATATCATCAATATAAAAAAATCGGCATACAGTATTTTAGGCTAACTTCCAACTTAGATAAGTGCAACGGAAGAAAAAACGAAAAAACGTGCCAGTTGGAAGTGTAACAATAGGATGCTAGACTCGTGAGAGGAGATGCGTACGCTAAAAACTGACCGTCAATTGTTTCAAACACATCTTTAGCAATGGCTTTTGTAAAGCCAACAAACATCAAATTGAACGGCTGTGTTTCAGTCGAAAGGCGGATGACAGCCTCGGCCTCATTAGCGTCCTGTGGGTAGAACAATTTGGCTCCTTCCATGGCACAACGAACTTTGGCTTCCCCCCATGTCCGAGGTACCGTGTGGATTTTATAGAAATTATCTGTCGATAGCAAATAGGTATAGTCCTTCCGGAAAAACCGCTTGCTCACTTGACAATCTAGAAACAAATTTAGATACGTAAAGTGTAATAGATAAAGATTATTTTAAACTAACTAAAAATTATACTGAATTGCCGCATTTAAATTGTAAAATAGATATCGCAAACAAATATTCATTTCAAAAGGAATTTTTGTGCTGCCTATAATAAGGCTGTCTGTTGTACTTTATCTTATTGTGTTATATTTTTATTAGGTACTGTTGTCTGTTATCATTGTTATATTCTAAGTGCAATGAACAATATTTCGTTCATCCTTTTTGTATAGAAACCAACTGTTTGATTATTCTGTAGGTACACTTATATTTCTCTTAGTAGGATCACGCATCCATGGTTATTGCAAAATAACCACTAAACTCTTTTCCATAGGATAATAAATCCTCATCGTTGAAAATAGCAGTAATACAGACAGAGTAATAAAAGTAACCATATAGAGCCAAAACGTAGAATTTTAGAAGTTATCTAGAAACATTTTATGGTATGTTACTTTATTCTATTAATATTATATATTAGATGATCAAACGAACTTCTTGAAGTGAAGTTCGATCACTATTATATGAGTCGCTTCATTCGAAGATATAATATTTAACCAGGTAGTTCCCTTAACTTGCTAGGCAACATCGCACGGTTTTTAGGGGAAAAACACTTTGACACTCCCTACCAGGCATCAACCGCCATTTTCTATCCTCATTCCTTTTAGAGTGGGAACCGAAACTTATTTGGGAGTTTCAGAATCTTTACTTCTGATATGGCGATGTCAAGGGAGGGAGGGTGTTGATTATATCTTCGAATGAAGCGACTCACATAATAGTGATCGAACTTCACTTCAAGAAGTTCGTTTGATCATCTATTATATTTCGTCGCTTCATTCTCGATATAGTATTTAACCAGGTAGAGTTTTAGAGTACTCAGTTTTGCTTCTAGTTGATTTTATGTAAATTAAAAACCAGAGGTTTAATCGATAACTATATTATATTTTTATTAAAAATATATGTAGATATGAACATATAACGGTTTTTCTCCTGAGATCACAATCATAACAATTTTTAAATCGTACAATCATATAATAATTTTATAAATAAAGATTATTATTATTATTATTAATTTAGAACAGTATAATTTGCCGTTTTATTATGCTGTAAGCAAATGGTTCTTGTGAACGTGTGTTCGTCTTCAGTAAGTATTAGTCTATTATAAAATGTAGTAAAGGATGTGAGACGTCGGAGTCCAACTCGCAGCCTTGCGCATGAGCTCTATCGATACCTCAGCCGCGCGCGCGGCCGGCGTGGAAGCGTACCGCGTGCTACACTCGCCGAAAACTGCTGTGTCCACACCCGCCGCGCCGCATCCAACACCTGCCGTACACATCGGCTCACGGTCTGACTCATGGGTACTCTGTGGGGTGCTCTATGTGTCAGCAAGAGCGTTTCCTGTTTCCTGTCTTTGTTTGTGTTACCAAAATATAATGTATGAAAACTGCGACAAGCCAAATACTTATACCCTCCCCAAAATATGGAAAATTTAATGTGGCCTGTACGCGACCAGGCGCAGATGTTTTGATTAAATTAGGTATTACAATTTTAATCGGAATATCTGATATTTGTATGTTTTTCATTTTAATCAATGCCAGTTTGTACGCGGTGTGCAGTACAAAGTGCAAGGAAAAACAAGTTTTTTCGTAAGTTTTTCATGAGTAAGTTCTGTGTTGGGAAACCACGTTGAAACTAATGCGAGAACGACTTGGGGATTCCAAGTATTGCTTCACTTTGGTGCACTGGGTTTCAATCTAAATGCCCTTAAGTAATCTTTTTATGCGGGCGTCTGAGCCTGTTTCAGACTATAAAGAGATAAAGCCGACTGTTATTATTGCAAAATTCCCACCAGAGCTTTAGGGACACATTATCTTGTCGAATTGTATTTTGAGCAAGAGAAGCTAGGGTAAAATCATCGCCTCTTGTGGGACTCCGCGGGAGGCGAAGGGGACGCTGATAACGGCAGAAAGGGTAAGCCTGGTGTGCAGTCCATAAAGCCGCCTGCAATAAGATTTAATAATATTCGCTTGAGTTAAAATATATCACGTGGGACACCGACAGGCTTTGCAGCAGGAGGAACCATGGCTGGGAAGGCCAATATGGAAAACCAAGAGTACCATTTGCTTGGACATTAATAATTTTGCGTATACATTTCAATAATAAAAAGAAGTTGTCCGAGTCAAGCATTTCCCCGCCCCTTGGCTCACGCCAGATATCAAGGAGGTTATGGAGAGGCGCAACAGAGCACGTATCAGATTGCGGAAGAATCCAACCGAAATCAATAGTGGGTCCTACATCGAGTTACGTAATCGCTGCAACAAGCTCTGTAGGAACGCCAGGCGTAAACATATTCACTCCACTATCGAAGGTTGTCCGCATACTAAGATATGGAAATATTTGAAGTCACTGGGTATCGGTAAAGCTGATCATGTCTTTCCCTTCAATGTCGATCTTAACGCGCTGAACGACTACTTTGCATCTTCCCCAGTATGTTTAGATTCTGTCATAAAATCGCGAACTTTATCTGTCCTGGCCAATGCACCTTGTCTTGCTTCAGAGTCTTTTGATTTTGGGAAGGTTACGACAGCAGATGTGTTGAAAACACTTAAGTCTGTCACCACGAAGGCTGTTGGTAATGACGGTTTAAGTCTTGATATGATCACTCCAATACAGGACCTAGTAGCTCATATCCTAGCTCATATCCTCAATCTTTCCCTTTCCAGTGGTGTGTTTCCCACTGTATGGAAACAAGCCCATGTAATTCCTCTCCCTAAAAAATCAAATCCTTCTTCTTTCTCCCATTACCGCCCTATCTCCATACTTCCTGTATTGTCCAAAATCCTTGAGCACTATGTCCATAATCGACTCACTGACCACCTCCTACGTTACGATATTTTCAACCATCTGCAGTCTAGTTTTCGAGCGGGCCATAGCACGGTTTCTGCTCTGGTGAAAATCACTGACGACATTCGTCTCAATATAGAAAATAAAAAAGTTACTGTCCTCACTTTATTGGATTTCAGCAGTACTTTCAGTACTGTTGATTTTAATTTGCTTCTTGCTGTGCTTAGAACTTTAAATCTACCTCCCTTAGCCGAATCCTGGTTTCGTTCGTATTTGTTTGGTCGTTCCCAGCTCGTAAAGACCGGTGACATGCACTCGGACTGGTGTAGCCTTACGGCTGGCGTTCCGCAGGGTGGGGTTTTATCACCTATACTTTTTTCCGTCTTTATCGGTGGAATTAGGTATATCATCACTCACGTCTTCTTTCCATCTCTATGCCGATGACCTTCAAATCTATACTGCAGGCCGTCTTGAAGATGTAGTTACTGCTATCGGAACATTGAATTCCGACCTACAAAAGGTTTCGGTATAGGCTAAGAACTACGGACTTCTTTTAAATGCACAAAAGTCCCAGGCCATAATTATTGGCAGTCGCCATTCCATCTCCAAGTTTGAGTCTATGGTGATGCCCAATTTAGTTTTGAATGACACCATTATTTCTTTTTCCATTTCAGTTAAAAATTTGGGCATCATAATGGATCAGACACTTTCTTGGTCGGAGCATGTCGCCGATGTAAGTCGTAAAATCTTTGCATCACTTCATTCCCTCAAGCGGATGCAGTACTTTCTTCCTCTGTCTACCAAATTTATGCTCATACGCACTCTTCTTTTTCCTATTCTGGACTATGGTGACGTCTCCTATCTTGATCTTTCGGAGGACCTTCTTAATAAATTGGAGCGGCTGCAAAATCAATGTATCAGATTTGTGTTTGGATTGAAAAAGTACCACTACATTTCCAAGTTTAGAGATGAGTTGAAGTTGTTGCCTATTCGTTTACGTAGAAATGCTCACATTTTATGCTTCCTCTATAAAATCCTGTTCCATCCCACTTCACCTAGCTATCTACGTGAGCGTTTTCAATACCGTCAGGCTATGGGTGACCGCTTGCGTTCTGGCATTAATTTGTCCCTCGTCCTTCCACAACACAGTTCCCAAAAATATTTGAACTCGTTCACAGTAAATGCTGCCCGTATGTGGAACCTTCTCCCGGTCGAGGTCAGACAGTCGTAGTCGCCTTCGGTTCGGGTTTTCAAGGGTGCTCTTTTGAAGTTTTGGGATTGTTCAAACTCCACATGTTAGAGCTTTTGAAATATTTATTTACATTTGACATATTTATTTATAGTTTTATTTGTGCATTCATTTTATTATAGACTTTGTATGTATTAATGTATCAACATTACTTAATATATATGTATTCGTATGTACATTTGATTTATTAAATTTATCTGTGTATTTATTGAGTATAGTATTAGGGGTTAAAGTATGAAATTGCCGTTTTATTGCAATAGGTTCTTTGAATTTTCATAGAATCTTCATGGTTTGAGGTTTTCGAATGAAACTTTTTTCAAATGGTTTCTGTGATTTTTTTTTTATTAAATTTGAAACATTTGAATATCGACTTTCAATTGTTTTTGTTATTCAATTTAGACAAGAAAGATGGATACTGCGAAAATTCGAGTGATTTTTGAATACGAGTTCCGACGCGGAACTAACGCGGCAGAAACAGCCCGCAATATCAATGCTGCGTTTGGAGAGGGGTCTACTAATGAACGCACCGTGCGATTTTGGTTTAAACGCTTTCGTGATGGAAATTTCGACTTAAAGAACGAGCCACGAGAGAGACCGCCCACACAGGTGAATAACGATGAATTAAGAGAGATAGTGGAAGCCGATCCTAGTCAAACTACCCAGGAATTAGCGGCATGGTTTAACGTTACCTTACCCACAATATTGACTCACTTGCGTCAAATCAATAAAATAAAAAAATACGAAAAATGGGTGCCTCATGATTTGACTGATCTGCAGAAAGAAACGCGTGTTGAAACTTGTGTTGCCTTGTTGAACCGGTACAGAAATGAAGGAATATTGGATCGAATTGTAACATGTGATGAAAAGTGGATTCTTTATGATAACCGGAAAAGAAAAATGCAATGGCTGACCCCAGGTCAAATGCCACAACAGTGTCCTAAAGCAAAACTTACCAATAAAAAGGTAATGGTAACTGTTTGGTGGTCTCAGCATGGTGTTATTCACTATAGTTTTCTCCGATCTGGTCAAGCAATAACGGCAGATGTCTATTGTGCCGAACTCCGAACCATGTTGACAAAACTAGCAGTAAAACAGCCCCGACTCATGAATCGATCTTCACCATTATTGCTCCACGACAACGCGAGACCTCACACAGCACGAGAAACCATTTTGACCCTTCAGGAACTGCAGTTAGAAACCATTCGTCATCCTCCGTATTCACCAGACCTTGCTCCAACGGACTACCATTTTTTTCGTGATTTGGACAATTATCTACGTGACAAGAAGTTTTCTTCCCAGGAGGCAGTACAAAATGCTTTCACACAGTTTGTGCAGTCTAGATCGTCGGATTTCTATCGCAAAGGCATTAATAACCTTCCCATTAGATGGCAGCAATGTATAGATAATAATGGCAACTATTTTGATTAAATAAATTTGTTAAAAATTTAAAAAATAAACAATTTAGATTTTCAGTACAAATCGGCAATTTCATACTTTAACCCCTATTATATTCCATTTCTTTACTTATCTATTTTTAGCGCCACCCCAAAAACCAACTTTCCTCTCAGATTTTCAAAGGTTAGTTGGAAGAAATCTCTTTATGGGATAAGCTCGCCTTTGTACACAAATATTTAAATTGTTTCTGAAAATTTGTAAGTTACTTGTTGTACAATAAAGTGTTTAAATAAAATAAATAAGTAAAAAGAAAATTTAAAATTCTTTGCTTATTAGCATGTAAAATTTGGGCATATTGTTCAAGTTAAAATCGACTCGCAGTCGATTTCATTATAGTCTTTAACTCGCAGTTAACTTCGACGTAGTTTAATTTAAAAAATACACGTTACTTATTAGCGCGTAGGTACTAATACTGTTCAAATTAAAATCAACTCGCAGTCGATTTTATCATCGTGTTTAACTCGCGGTTAACTCCAAGGCAGTTTTATTATAAGGCATGTAAAATGTACATATTAATATATCTGTTCGGATTTTCATCCACCCATGTTCGATTCGGTTATCGGGGATAACTCGCAGTTAACCCAATGTTTTATTAAATGTAGGTTAGATTCACATTTGCGATGTATGAAAGCGAACATTTATTATAATTGCGGAAGTAGCAAGTAGTGCTATATGATAAAAATGAATATTTTCATTTTTTAATTTCATTATTTATGAGCATAAGAAAAAATTTACCTTGATCAATGTCCGACTCGTCCGATGATGTTATGATCTCATAACGCCGACGACGTTCGGCGTCTGTATTTTCCAAGTATTTCTGTTTACTTTTATAATATTCGATTTTTTCTAAGTTTGTTCGCTTTGACATTTTAACGGAGCTGTGGAGGTGTGCTTGTTGCCACGCACGAAAAAGGAATGAGGATGGAAAATGGCGGTTGATGCCTGGTAGGGAGTGTCAACGTCAAAACATTTCTTTTCCCTAAATACCGTGTAGTGTTGCCTAGCAAGTTAAAATAACTGGTTAAATATTATATCGAGAATGAAGCGACGAAATGTAATAATACTATATAACGCAAAAAATCCCTTGTGAAATGTATAATTCATTATTTGGAAATTCCACCAGACATACAACACAGGTAAAGATCTTTTTTCCTATATCTATGGTAAAAATCAGAATTGGCGTACACATAACAAACAAATATTTAAAAACTAAGTAGGCAATTAATGTTTTTTTTCATTAAAATCAATTAAGTATTTGCTTATTGAAGGATTATTTAGACGTGCCCTTGTTTATTGCAAAATAATAATAGTAGTAGAATAAATAATATAAAAGAGTCTGTACTCACTTATATTTGTAACGAACACTAATAAGAAAAAAATAAAACTTTTAAACGAACTCATGATGAATAATGATGAACTGAAGGTACAAAGGCTGGCGTACGAATGAGCAATAAAATTGTAACTCCTACCTTTACCTATACTTTAATACTATGAAACCTGTAGGTAGCTGCTACGTCTAGGATAAACACGACCAAAAGCAACCGCAGGTAGTCAACCGCAGATTTAGTGCATGAAGGAAAAAATGGAGAACTCTCCTAAAGTCAGACTGTAGAATAACATGCGAGTAATACCTAAGCTAAGGCCGCCTTTACATATTTATGCAAGTTATATAATACTTACGTAAGCAACTTCGTAATTAACTTGTGATAAATTTACAAATGCACACTGTTGTAAGCTTAACTTAGCTTAAGCTTATCGTAATTTCTTACAACTCATGGAAGTTCAAATATTACTTAATTAATTTGGTCACGAAATTCTTTTACAACTTATAAAAGTGATACGATGAAATCAAGAACTTATGAAACACATACAAGTATCAAACTGTACCTGACTATTTCTATGTAAACGCTGTCAATGACTTTCTTTCATAAATTGTACGGAAACAATTACAAGTGTAAAGGTGGCCTAAGAACAATATTTAAATGCCTTCACGCAAATTTCAGCTATACCTTACCTACTTAATGACACAAATAACCTGCTAATGCCTATAGGGGTAATTTTCAGGTTACTTTTCTCTACCTAATTTGCTGGTGCTGGCGAAATTACACATGGGACTTGTCATCTTATGTCACTGGGTGAAGGGCACAGTGGCAGTGCCCTTCAGATCTTTGCGATTTAAAGCTCTGAGTGGCACTGCAACTGTTATTGACAGGCGTGTAGCTTACTCTCAGGCGCACGACTCGTTCGTTCCGTCACTTGATATTATAAAAAGTTTCGGTGCCAATTGTTATTATTTAAATATTCTAGAATATTATCATGAAGTATTATTTAACATTCGACTGTAGTTACCTGAAATATTATTAAATATTTCACGGCAATTTACTCGAATACTTAAATCTATTGTGTAAAATAAAATTAACAAAGATTTGTAACGCTAGTACATAAGTACCTACGGTGGCTTATTTACCTTTCCTCCACTTTCCAGCATACAACAGTGTATACACAGTTTCTTTCGAAAATGACGTTACAACAAGCAATGGAAGAATCACAGTAAGCTGATCAGAAATAGCTTTGTGTCGACAGCAAAACGCGCAATGTCTCTTTGGCAGTTATATATGGCATTGATATATAGCTTTTTTTGAGCAGTTCAAGCCATTTTTGCGATAATAAGTGTGGTGATTCCCTATCTGCACATGCGCAAATGTCAAATGAAGACAATAAAATTTCTCTAGCCCCTTAACACGACTTCCATATTTTGAATACTTTTGACAGATCTTTAAAGAGAATACATCTGCCACCCTTCGAGCAATAGATAGGACATTCATCGTATTTGTTGACTGTATATATATACTAATAAAAGCTCATATATAAAAAAAAAATAGTAATTTACACTTTTATATTTATTTCTAACCACGATTACGTAATATTTAACATTGTATTTTAACAGTTTGTAATACACTTTTGTCGTTGATCTGGAGATTATAATTGTTGACAGATTGACTTTTTGTAGTAATATTGAGTTAACATGAATGTTAAGGCAAAATATCGTTCTTGAACACAATCCGTATCTAACTGGGTTGCTTTTGCAATAACTAATTAAATCGATCGTCAAAAGCGCCGGCGAAAATGCCAATGTCGTGTTCACATATAAAGAAGCAGCGTACGTAGCAGCTCATATCGTTGAGGCCGCCATCGTAGAACATGCTGCCGCATACTTCTGTGCCTCCCCTATTGTCCGGTTGACCTCCGCCCCATTTTGCGTAACCACTGTTGTGGAGAGGTACCCCTGAAAATTAAAAATCCGCAATTAAATGGAGGATTTATAAAAAGGCAGCAACTAAAATGTACGACTTTGTAATTCGAACTTTTTTGAACTGGTTTTGGTCCGGGTTTCTGGTTAGTGAATTCCTTGCTGCTCTGGTACTTATAATACAGGGAATTCCCTAGTTTCAGACCAGGTAACCGGTGTGGTTGACACATTGTTGTTATTTATTATAGGTACATCCTTACCAAAATATTTTATTTAACTAAATCTAATCGAAGTCTGATGGCGTGAGCATGATTTGTAATCCTACTGCTACTGATGTTATTACTTAAGTTAGAGATATTTGTTTAAATATTTGGGATACAGACTAAGAGCAAAATTTCATTAGCAAGAGGCATTTGGTATAAGACGCTGCAACCGCGACCTGATCAAAAGCTTGGTTTGATGGTGCGGATCTGTTATTTCAGCATTTAGAATTAGATGTGGTCACATTCCACTAGTTAAATTTCATCACTTGACAGATATCAAAGCCTCACCCCTTTGCGAATATTGTAAAATAATAGAAAACCTGATCCATCTGTTAGTGGAGTGTAAGCATACTATAACCACAAGAGTACGATTCGGAATTGAAGAGTTTGGACTTAATGGAGACATAAACATTGTTCTGCGAGACCCTTTACATAAAGTAGTCGTAATCTATATTTGCGTAACTTATTGCATAAAAATTCAAAAATACGCCTAACTGACCACGCAGTTTGAAATTCCCTATGAGGCTATACAGTATAGTGTTAAAGGCCTCGTTGAAAATAAAGAAAGAAAAAATGTAATCGAGTCTTAATTAATTTTATGAAATCTTCTTTAAGCTGCTCTACAAAAATTGCAACTAAAGATTATAAGGTACCTTTAATGGTTTTCCACCCATCTGAATCTTTGTTATGGAAGCCCAAATGAACAGTACCAGCCAAGTAGTCCCCATGAACCTTATGCTTCGGCGCGTCAGCCGTCATTTGTACCAGATGGTCAGCTTCCACTTGACTTTCAATTATGGCAAGGTACGACTGCTCCGCACTACAAGTAGTGATTGCATCAGTCCAATTCTTCGGGGTCAAATGGAATTTGTAGCATTTTCCCAATGTTTGGTTAAATATGTAATCTGAAATGTTTGGTGTATAGTAAATATAAAGTTATTTTACGGTGATCGATATACTGCGAATGAGGAAGTAGAGAGTTTTTGCTACAACGTATCATTCGATAAATCGTAATTAAACTAGTGTCTAGTCGTTTTTTTGGAATTGGAATGGAAATTACCACCTAAATTGAATATAGTAACAATAAAACAAAAAGACGTCTGACTTGGTAATCATTTCATCATCCTCCTTGAACCCTCCGAGCGCTGATTCTCACTACAGACGGGTATTTAGAACCATAGTTTATAATATGTACTAATATTGTTTTAATTTAATTTCATTGGTTTATGCACTTAGAGTTACAAACATATTGTTATGACCATTGTGGCCATTCAACGTAATAGCACTACAGTGTTATATAGTATAATCTGACAAGTTGAAAGATATTAAAGAAAGACTTAATTACATGTAATTCTTGGTCAATAAAGAAATTTTATTTCTTTTGACTGACTGAAGCCATGGTAGTCTAATGGCTTGATCTATCGCCTCTCAAACAGAGGCCGAAGGTTCGAATCCAGGTTCGCGCCTCTGAGTTTTTCGGAATTTATGTGCGAAATTTAATTTAAAATTTACCATTTTCGGTGTAAGAAAACCTTATGATGAAACCAGCACGTCGAAGAAGGTTCACGGAAAACGTCAGAAGTCCCCAACCCGCATTGGTCCAGCGTGTCGGACTTTTGCCTAAACCTTCGCGTTAGAGGAGACCCGTACCCAGCAGTGGGACGCGTAAATGGGTTGATGTTGTTACTAGCTTGGGACAGTATGAGCGCTCGTGTTCAAGAGTTGAAAAATTGGCTGTTACATACTTCTAAGCTTATATTGTTTTACAGAATTTAACATACCTTTGTTAGGCATATCACAGTCTGTGTTCCATTCGAGATCGGCTAAGGCTTTCTTGCATATGAAAGGGTATTTCCTATCACAGCGATCGTCGTGTAATTTTCCTTCTTTGTTCAATGTAACACAGCCTTCCATTATACATCTTCTATTGGATTACCTGGAGAAATTGTAGAGGATTGATCAGCTTCAGATTTTCTTACCCTTAGTATAGTGAATCGCAGCAGTCGCTGCTTTTGTATATATATATATATATATATATATACACACAGGCTGTATATTTGAAAGTGAGACACACTTATAGAGTGCGTTATATTCCTGATTCTAAACCCAAAACAATAATAAACTAATGAACTTAAACTTTACAAAACAATATACTTATTTTTTTAGGCTGTCTCAGTCGGCCCTCGCTTGGTAGTATTCCCATTGCACTCGAAATCAAGCGTAAAGGGAATCGGTTTATTCCTATGTACACTCCAAAACAAATTTGTTGATTTATGTTCTATCCCATATCCTAATTTTATTTTAGTCCATGTTAACTTGTAACATGATTTACTATGACATGTATGAATATGTGTCACTTTCAAATATACAGCCTGTATATTATGAATCATAAACAAACGTAAACGGGTAAAACTGAAAGGAAATTCAACGACGCACGTAGACAAATGAGTTCTTATTGTTGTGCATTGGTTTAGTAATTATGTAAAAAGTATAAGTAGTACAAATTTTTGCATAAGGAAAATTATATGTAATATTACATTTAAATTAATTACAAAATTGGGGACGTCCTAAAAGACGATCCAGGTCAAGAGTAGCCTTAACCAATGGGCGTGTATGAAAGTATTGCTTGTTTTAAGGCGAAAGTTGTGTGCCAAGGAACAGGACAAGTGGCAAGCTGTACTCTCTGCTCACTTCGAAATTAAAAATACGTGAAGTGTATGTAAACACATTAAAATTGAGAAAAAATAACGGTTAACGGTATTTTAAGTAAAGTACCAGCGCTGATATATATACACTGGAACGCAAACGTATCTCGAAAAATTGAGAAAATGAGTTTTTATAAACTGATAATCAGAAAAAAATCGCATTTTTTGATTTAGGAGTCGTGATGCTATAACGATATTTTTTATTATACGACGTCGATACTTCACGAAACACACACACAAATGCTCTAAATAGAACTTTGCTAATTCAATATTTCGAGGTATGACAAGATTGCGTTATAGCGTCGATATAATGTATAGTAACCTTCCTTAAAGCTTGACAGCTGTTTTTATTATGTAAAATCTTACCGTCAATAGTTTCAAATACTTCATTAGAAATGGTATTTGAGATGCCAACATAGACCCAAAAGAACGGCTGTGTATCTGTCCAGAACTTAATAACTTCCTGGGCCTCATCCGCATTCTGGGGGTAGAACAATTTGGCTCCTTCCAATTCACAACGTTTTTTGGCTTCTGCCCATGTCCGATGAATTGTATGGACTTTAAAGAAGTTATCTATCGAAATCAAATATGTGTAGTCTTTCCGGTAAAATCGCTTGTTCACTTGACAATCTAGAAATAAAATTAAATATGTAAAATAGAGTACTTAGGTAAAGGTTATTGTAAAAGTTTAACAGTATCGCCGCATTTATAAACATATATCACAAATATACATCTAAGTAAGAGTCTCCATTATTTTTATTGTAAATATATTTGATTATTCATTGTATCTAGGTATCTTGAGATGCTCCTTTTACGCAGTAAATGATCACCCGTCTTGGCTTATTGCAAAATGGTCACAAATTCCTGTGTACAGTTGGAAATGCCAATAATACAGGATAGTACAGTTAATAATATACAATAATAAAGTCAGTACTTACGCATATTCGTAACAAACACTAATATCATGAATAATAAAAATACAAAACTTTTTAAAGAGCTCATGTCTGCGTGGTACAAAGAATCGCTTACAAATGAAACAGGAAAAATTTTATTCAAATCATAATTCACTTTAACGCTACGAGACCTCTACTACGCTAATAGCGGTTGGTAGGTGAAGTGGTTCGTTTGCTAAGTTCGATAAGTTTGGATAACAATATGCATCTTGTCGTCTTGGTAGTCATCGCAGTTGTGATAGGAGGTCAACTATTCGCAGCCGTATATCTAATAAAGTATAAAAGTAACGGGACTTACTCCCGTAGTATTTTAGTCAGAAGCGGTCCGACTATTTTCGACCTTAATCGATGGTCTTCTTCAGGGGTTTAGTGCAACATACGCGACCGCGTCACGTCTAGCACTGCGCGCTGGAGATCGCTGCGCGCGCGCCGATGCCGCAGTCCGCAGTGGGGAACTCGGGGGGTTGATACGTTGCGTCATCGCGTCCTGGTACTCTTCTTCGCTACTGCTGTTTATAGGATTGTTGTCGGGAACAGTCCAGCACACAGAGCTCACCACATCGTTACTACTAACATCTGCAGCTGCATACCGAACGCCATGAAGACACGGCTTCCAGGTCGGTATTAAGCTCCAGCCTCCGTCTCTATTAAAATTTGTTTATTTATGTTTATTAATTACTTATTTCAATAGTCTCTCGGATTTTGCGGGGCACATAATACATCTCCCGCGCTAAAACCTTAGCTTTATCAAACCGAATGTAGTGATCAGCACCGAAGCTCACAAAGTGGTCTGCCACCGCAGATCCATTGACATCTTGGTTCTTCATGGATCGGATATGCTCAGCTAACCTAATAGCCACGTTCCGCTTCGTTTCGCCGACGTAACATTTGCCGCAGTCACAGGGAACCATATAGATACCGGGGACCCCCAGAGGGTCTCTGTCCTTTGGAGAGCGAAGCAATTGTCGCAGCTGTGTGAGAGGACGGAATGTTGTCTTGATGCTGTACCTTCGGCGTAACAAGTTTCCTATCCCGTCCGTCACCTTCACCGTCCCCTTACATAGGTAAGTACGCTACCGCTCTCTCTACCGATGCCGTACGAGGCTTCGTTGATGCATTTGCCACACGCCAACTCTGTTTCCACTTGTAACCGTTACCAACCAACACGTCCTTCACATGATTTAGCTCAGCATCTATGTAATCCGGGTCGCAAAGTTTCAAAGCTCTATTAATGAGCGTCTGTGGGACTGAAGCTAAATGTGCCGGGTGGTGATGTGAATCCGCTCTCACGTATCTATCCGTGTGCGTTAGTTTCCGATACACCGCATGAGACAACCGACCGTTATGTTCACGCCTCACCAACACATCCAAGAAAGGAAGAACCCGTTCTGCTCATATTCCAGGGTGAAGGTGATCTTCGGGTGAACGCTGTTTAAGTGTGCCAATAGCGACTCTACTCCCTCTTTAGGCATACTGGCAAATACGTCATCAACATAGCGCCACCAGTATATTGGTTCGAATGGAATGTTCACCAGCGCAGTATCCTCAAACCATTCCATAAATATGTTACATGACGTCTCTCCAGTTCCCAATAACCTAAGCGGCTGGAGGGACCGGAGGATATCTAGTTTATCTTCTACTAGCTCTCCGGGCTAGTGCCGGAGATGCCAGTCGCAGTGTCCTGCGACAATGTCCGGACATATGTAGCTTCCAGCTTAAAGGGCAACTCACGTGCTCCACACGTCTCCTCGCTTCGGGCCCTCAACTAGACCGCTATTAAGACGTGCTAGCTGCTCTCGAGACAGACGCTCTGGCCACACCCAACTGGGGCAGACCAACATGTCCATCTCTGCAAATAACCACAAACCCCAGCGAGTCCATAGCTAAGTCCGGGTCCACCAGAGCCTAGCCAACGCGTATCACTGGCGGAGGAACCAGCCCAGACCAGTCGATTTTCAGAGGGTTCCGAATTCTCCTCAGTCACTTCTATCATCCAGTCTTGGTCTTCTAACAGTACCCGTTCAAGTACCCGTGATGCTCACCAAAGTCATGGTCGATCATCGTCTATTCGAAGCCATACTTCTGTTCGGGAACGGTCAAGATCAGAAAGGTGAAGTCGTTCGGCTGACGCACCGTCATCATATAGATCAAGGAAGTGGAGGCAAATGTCATATGATGATAGGGATCAATTGTGGTAGGTACCCATATCGCCCTACTACAGAAAAAAAGAAATTTGAAATTTGACTAACCAGAAAAAAAGTCGCTATTTAGTCGGTTCTAGTCGCAAAAAACTAGATTTAGTTGGTCCGTCGTTCAAAAGTTATAAGGGTGTTTTACTGTCCATGCTGGGATAAGCTTATTTCAGCGGCATCATTTCTCAATCTCGAGAACCACTACACCTAGCTTAGATCTGATTACACTAAAAAATAGTCGTGATTTAGTCGGTTCTCGTCGTAAAAAACTGGATTTAGTCGTTACGCCGTTTTGAAGTTATTAATGTGTTTTACTGCCCACGCTGTAATAAGCTTATTCCGGCGGCACCATTTTTGAATCTCGAGAACCACAGCTCCTAGCTTAGATCTGGTTGCACGCAGAAAAAGTCGTGAATTAGTGGGTTCTAATCGCAAAATTTTAGACTTAGTCGCTCCTTTGTTTAGAAGATATTGGATATTCAATTATTTTCGTTGATAGGTACATTTACGGAGAAAAGTCGTAATGAAGAAAAAAACACATAATGAAGAATGTGTATTTAAGGAAGGTCACCGTTCCAGATGTTCGTCGTGAGATCACTCAAAATATCGTATTCGTGGCGATTAAAATAATTTTCAACATTTTATACATTGTTTTTTACGTACTTGGCTATAGAGTCATCAGCTCAAAAAGGTAACAAATAATTAAGAAACTCAAAATGTAATATACATAACTAAAAATTAAACAATGTTAATATTGTTACTTTAAAAAACGTTATTTATTCATTCTGTCGACGCATTTTTTTTGCATGCGTCTTGATATTTATGCTATTAATGAAAAGGAAACGTAATAGATATATTCTTATATAACTGTCCTTGTTACACTAAACGACAAATTCTTTGAACGCAAACTCCATTTTGTATCAAACGAAATAATATAAATTAGTATTCTTATTTATTTTACTTTTATAGGTTATGTTTTTCTATGCAATGTTTTGTATACTTCTGCAATTTTAATCCTGAGCCATTTTGAAATATGGGGTAAAGTCAGTAAAGTCAATGGTCAACGGTTTATTTTTACGAAAGGAAAATATTATCTATGGTTTTAAAATTGTGACTTTTAAACTCCTTTTCTTTGACTCGTTTGAACTTGTGTATTTTTTAAGTTTTGTGAAAAGTGAAGACAAATACATGATACTGTTACTTGGTAAGTTTAAAGATAGTTATTAGTTACATATAATTGATATACGATCGATGGCGTTTATTATTTCCGTTCTACCTCCGTGTCTACTTATCTATTGACAAACTAATAGTTTGTTGTTTTGCAAAACGCATTATATTAAAGCAAAACAAAACTTTTTATTCCAAAAATTCTGAAGTAAAGGAAACTCCAGCTCAATCTGCTGGTTAGTTTCTGAGAAATAAGACAAAATATGTTGACATTTCAGAGTGCCGTGTGCGTCTTAATGAATCCTGACATACCAATTTGGTACCAAAAAAATGTACCAAAAATGTACTATTTAGTACTTATTCTTAAAAAATTTGTACCTCTATCATAACGAAGTTATAGCGAAATCAAAATTGTAAATAATTTTGTAAGTTTTTTAAATAAATTTCCGCCATTTATTTGGGTAGGCAAAGGTTCCACCATACAGCCTCTTCATTTGTCAGTATTTTTCCTTGTTTTGATGGAAAAGGTGACAAGCGCCTGTTCTTATATAGTTTATTTCATGCAATGGTCGTAAAAAGGAACCCGCCATATTGACAGTCAATACGGCGGGTGTACCTTTGATATTACTATAACTTCGTTCTGATGGAGGTACAAATTTTTTAAACAGAGGTACTATATAATACAAATTAGGTACTTTTTTGATACCAAATTTGTCAGGATTCGTTAAGGTTTGCCCGCCTTTCTGACTCTCACAAATTTATAGAGTGAAAATTGATGAAAACGTGGGGAGAGGTAGACCGCAACGTACATGTCTCGATGTATAGAAAGACTGATGCATGTGAAGGAGGCGAAACAGGTTTTGTCAGGAGAGTAGGAAGTGTAGGTTCATGATCTCTGTCTAGTCCAGTAGGAGATTGGCGTGGTGGAATGTATGTATGCTCACCTGGATGGTATTTGATACTTATGTGTTAAAGACAACAAACAATTTGAAATTGAAAATTTTAATATGAAAATGAAAAGTCATATCTTTTTCTCTTACCTATATCAAAGTTATATGAATAAAAATAATATTATTTGATAACGTATTTTAAGATGGATGTAAATTTTCAATCAGTCGCGACTTCAAAATTTGCGGGTCCAAATGAGCGTGGTTCATTAA